TGGAGGATTTAAATGTATTCCCAGACACAGGTAATTCAGTCTGTACATGTTCTTACTGTTAATGGCCCTGGCCTAATTATGTGTAGGAAATGGCACTATAGTTCTGCTTGGCTGACCCCTTTCTCTCTCTATGGGAGAAAATTACTTGAGTCTGCATTAAAGTTAAGGTGAACCAAAATGCAGAGTGAGATTTTGTGTGGAGGAGAAGAGGAATATGAAGGTAATTCCTTTCCTTGGAAATCTGTTTTAGTTCATGTGTTATCTATGAAAAGATCAGTAACTTGCTATGTTTAAAAGGCCATGAAGTCAAAATGTTTGTATAGAGGAATTAGTTCAGACTTTTCCTTTATCCTGTTGGCTAGAGCACTGCCAAAAGCTGCCAGCTGGAACGGAAAGCCATAATTTTCAGAGTAAGGCAATATATGTATAATACATACCTGTTTCGACCATACCTGCTGCTCAAGGCTGCCATCCCTCTTCTAGCTAAGAGTGCAAGTCAGACTTGAACTTTTAAGAGCCAAGAACTGCCAAAGTAATTACCAGCAATGCTGTCTGCTTGTGTTGTTATAAAAATAAGAGGCTTTGTGTAATATGTGAAGGATAGAGATTCAGCTAGCTAATTAATCTTGTGGCCTTAGTTATTTTTAACTGCTGGGATCTCAGGGCTGGCCACCTTAAATTTTAATGTGTCTTGTGGTTGTGTGATGAAACTTGGACTTGTGTGGAACAGAAAAGTATCATGGGGAAGATAAGAGAAGCATTGCATGCGCACGCTGCAGCACTGTTTACTGTTTTAACAGTTTAAGAAGGCACACAGTGTCTGGTAGCTTTGTTCTCATCTGTGGGTCAGAAGCTGTGCACTGAATTGTGACTGGGTGTGCTTTGTGTCTGAGCTTGATCCTAATATCAGGCAGCACAAGCTAGTGTTGCAGTGAATGCGAGCTCTTTTATTATGTGGAAATTAAACATCGATAGATGTGGAGCCACAAAGGAGCATGGGAGGACACAGTGCTGCTTTTGTGCATTCACTGTATCTTCACATGGTGTGTCCCATCAGGATTCAATGAAGATTGTGCATGTGGTCCAAAGTCTAGCATTTTGCAGCTTTGTTAAGTCGTGTTTTCTTAATATAAATTAAAAAAACAAACAAACAAAACAAAACAAAACCAAAACCAAAAAACCGAAACAAACCCAAAAAAAGCCCCCAAAACTTAAAAAAAAATATAAACAAACAGCAACAACATAAACCAAACCAAACAAAAATACAAACAAACAAAACCCCAAAACAAAACAAACAACCAAATCTACGACCGTTTGCTTCAGGAATTTTTGTTTCTGAATCCAGGACAAGTAACATTGAAAAAGTCTGGATGATTTGCACCATCTATAAGTGATTTTCTTAGTGTTGCTAAAAGTTATCATGTGGACTCCTCAGGAAACTGTTCTATGGTAAAAAGAAGCTGCTACTTGTCTCTTTTTAGTGACAGTGAGATTGTAAAATTGGCCTTGCAGAGGAAAAGGCCTATAAAATAAATAAAATGTTTTTCCTTCTCTGGTTGTGGTTAATTTTTTACCTCGTGATGTTCTGATACCAAGCCTGGATACATTTTTCCTTACGCTAAAGAACTAAAAGTCTCTCTTAGGCATCTGGTCTATTTGGCTGTTTCTGGGTATGGGTGAAGGTTGCAGCAAATGCACAATATCTCAGAAACCTTTATCTGCAGCAGTAAGTTCTGCAAATCGTGGGGTTTTTTTGTTTTGTTTTGTTTTTTTGTTTTTTGTTTTTTTGTGGCTAACAACTTTTCCAAGTCTAGAAGGATTTCCATAGAAACAAGAAAAAGGCTGTATGTGAAATTGTGATCTTACCATAATAATCTCTTCTATCCCTCAAGGATGAAGTATTTGGGGTTTGTGCTAATAAGATGGGAATATTTAGTAGGGACATAGCATACTTCTGCTACTCTGTTTTTTTCTCAAAATCCACAGGAATGTTTCAAAAACCATTGAAAGATGAAGCCTGTAAAAACTGTATGCTCTGTACATCTCTCTGGTTTAGTTTGAATGTCTGAAATAAAGCACCAAATAAAAATAATCACTTTGGGTAATGTGTTAGAATAAATGTACATGGGCAAGTATATGCTGCTGGATTCAGCTTAAGGAAAGGTTTAAGAAGCCACCTCTTTTCAGCTGGAGGTCCCTGTCTGCATAATGAGATCCAGATAAATAGACTTTCTCATGGTGAGGGAGACCATGTACTGGCAGATTGTCCAGGAAGTTTGTGGAGTCTCCATCCTTGGAGATACTGGATCTGTCTGGACATGGTCCTTGGGAGCCAGCTCCAGGCTGCCCCACTTGAGCTGAGAGGTAGATGAGGTGACTTACAGAAGTCCCTTCTAACCTCAACCATTCTGTGGATGGGTTGTGTTAATCTCCATAGTTCATTTCAGTGTGAAATGAAACAATTCGGTTCGATTCACCTTTACAGTGAAATCGAAAGACAAGGCTCCATGTTGTGGCGCCCTCAGGACTGACTACCTCTTGTGCAAAAGTGCTCAATTCTCTTCAGTTGCCAATCATCCTCCACCCTGACCCTGCTCAGTGGCTATTTCAGTGGCTGCACAAGTAGCATTTAGAATTACTTGGCTTAAAGAAAATAAGAACTTTTGGTCTTTTTGTCCACTCCAAAACTAAGATTATAGTATATGGGATATATTACAGTATATGAATAAGGTTATAGTTGATGGAAGAACAGAAGAGCAATTAGGTAATGCAAGACAGCAAAAAATGGCCCTGTTGCTGAAAATTTTGCAGTACCTGGAAGCATCCAGACAATATTTTGCTCTTTCTCAGGTCAAGCCTTACTAAATCTGCTACAGAGGAGCACGGCTTCTCTGACAGGAATGCTTCCTGAGAGAACATCTAACTACAGATATTAAAATAGCATCATCTTAGAAGCAGGAAGTAATGTTGTGTGTTTGATTTTTTTTTTCCTGGATTTTTTAATGGGTTTTTTTGTTTGGTTTTGTTTTGGGGTTTTTTTGTGATCAGAGATAATTTTTCTAATTGTGCAGCATAGGAATAGATTGGGAGACCAGCTTACTCTTCACTAAGGCAGGTGCCTTAGGAAGGAGGTTTTGTTTTATGTTGGATAGAACAAAGGTCACAGAAGTATCAGGCTTTTGGAAAGTTAGTAATAGTCTCTCCTAGTTTTACAGGGAGCTTTCCCAAAGCCTTATCTTTTTGTGCTTGGGGCAGTCCTTGCTCTAGTCATGTTCTGTAGTCATTTTGTTTGTGTTTTGTGCAGAGTTGGTGCTTGTACTACAGGCTTGAGGAGAAATGGTCAGAGTCCAGTATTCTTTGCCCCAGCTCATTTAGATATTTCATGTATAGAGCATGCAATGTCTAATATCAGATTTAATTATTTGGAGATACTTACTGTGACACAGGATTTCTGATTTAGTGAAGCAGTACAAAGTATGCTGAAATCACAATGCAGATATCCGTTATACTTAGCAAAATGTAGCAGTGGCAATATGCAGTTCTATCTGAATACCAGTATGATTCCCATCACTGGTTTCTGTAATGCCAGCATCACAACACTGGGCATCTTCTGTCACTGGAATGGAACATGTGGGTTGAGGCTAGCTCAGACCCATTGCTGTCTTTTAAATTCTTTTGTTAATTGTTTAGTTTTTATACTCTGTATCAGGTTAAACCACCTGTTCACTTGGCTCATGCTGGTCTGGCTTCCTCAGGGAGGCAGCCACACTCTTTAATGAACTAACTGGGGGAAATATTTATTCCATCAGTTGATCCACTCAGCTTTTGATAGATCTCCTAACATCTAAAACAAGCATCTGGTCCCTTTAGTCTTGAGAGAAATACATGTCTTGCTTTGGAAAAGCTGTGGTCAGTCACAGAAGTGCAAGTTGCAGATCAGGGTCCAGTTGTTCATGTGACTTAGACATGCCACCTATAAAGGATCCCTTTTTAGAGAGCAAAAGTCCGACTGCTCAGCTGCTAAGGTTTCTACTCTAGCTCAGTCCGCCCTGGCTTGTCTAAGTAACTTACTTTTCCTTTTGCAAGGGAAAAACCTAGGCAGTTTTTCATCATATAAAATTGTGTGGCAAGGAACCTGCCAAGAGCAGCCACTTAAGCAGCATTTCTATCATATGTAAATATAGGCAGATGAAATATGAAAGTCATGTGATGAAAATGTGTGATACTATGCCTTGAGAAGGGCTGTTCACTGAAGAAACCACTACCTGTGTTTTCATTTACAGAAGTGTTGCTTGGTCAAGCATCCATTTAGGATCCTTTTTGTGGGGGTAGTTTGGCTAAACTGGTTTTTTCATTGCATGAGTCTTGCATGAGTAATGTTGCTTTGAACTATTCATTCCTTACATCTATTTGTTGCTCAGGATACCTTACTTGGAGAATTTAGTGTCCTGACAAGGAATGTCTCCCTAGAAATTCTGGAGGAGTGTCTGCTTGCTTGATAGCTGGGAAAGAATAGTTTGAGCATCTGCCTCAAAAGCTGACTTAACGCTGCATGGATTTTAGCATGGAGAATGCTGTCTGTGATTCCTCAGATAAAACCTGCTAGTTTAAAGTCACAGCTAAGCCAGGGTCTGGATAACTGCAGACAGAGTATTTGTAGGGTTTGAGGTACTGGAGGCCAAGAGTGCAGATATTTCTGGGGTGTTTCTCTATCTCTAGAGAAGGAGATTTCCAGGTGGGTAATTTGTTCTGTATCTTTATCATGCCTGATCTACTATGTCATCCATCAAGAAGTCAGGAAGTAATGATAAAGCCTCCATGTCACCTGTCTATTGTTTTTTACTGTGACATTCTAATTAATGCTCACGTCTGACCTATTTTTTCCTGTGCTGTCTGTTTCAGTGCTTGATGGCCACAGCAGGGCACTAAACAATATTAGAAAAAAACCCCAGGATTAAGACCTATAATTCTCACACGACTGGCTGGAAAAGTGGTTGTCACCGCCTTCCTGGTGCAGCATGGCATTTGGACCTGGTGTACTCTGCCTGTTCCTGTGGACAATAACAGGTAGGAGTACTTCTCCTGTGTTTGAATCATCCAGACAGAAAAGTGAATTGAATACTCCTGCAGCGTGTATACAGTTGTGAAATAAATACGAATAAGGCAAAAGCTGGGAAATCTTGTGAATCCTCAGTGCAAAAAGCTTTGGTAAGTTACAGCTTCATAAGTTGCAATGGAGGAAGGCAGTTGTGAGTAGATGTTTGAAGCCAATTTCAGCAGGCTGTTTTTGGGGAGATGCATAGGGCAAGAGTGGGTGGTGGGAGAGTCAAAAGAGTTTTCCCTCTTTTTCACTTGCAGGAGAGCAATTGAAGAATAATGTGTTGCTTGCATTGTGAGCTACATTTTTGTTCTGAATTATTATAAGGCAGTTTATATATGAGTGGTGTGAGAGCACTAGTTCACATCTCTCACCTCATCATACTCTCTACAAACATATCTATCCTTTCAAAAAACACAGGAAAGTCCTGTATGTTTCTGCTTCAGCCACAGGAATAGGTAATTTATTTCCATAAGCAGGCAGATGAAGAATGATATTTAATACTGCCTCTGTCAGAGAGAGACTTAATCTGGCGCAGGTAGTTTTGATATGGTAACTGAAGAAAAATATATTAAGAAGTGGGGTTTATTTCCTTAAAAAAATATTGTTTGAATTGTATCTGTGGTGGTACTGGTCGTATCCATATTAGCAGAAACTGAGGAAATAACACACCACTGTCTGACTCTCACTTCTTGTAGTGTAAACAGCATGAGCTGTTTCATGGGGGAGAGACTTGCTTAATGTGCTAAACCTTAAATTGACTGCTGAATTTGGAAAAGTTGGATGAAAGGGGATGGATATTAGCCTGCAGCTGAAAGGGACAGTCATTAACTATGTCTGAGCTTGTAGGTGGTGTTTGAGGTAGTCATCAAGATCACCGTGAGGATCTCATAGTGCCCAGCTTTTTGAAGAGAACATGGAGCTGAGCTTTTTGTTGCTGTAGTGAAGAACTGTGCCTTTTGTAAATAAAATCTTCTCCTCTGAGATACTGAGTACCTGCTGTGGGGTCTATGCTAGCATCTTTAGGAAAAAAAAACAAAACCACAGTAGCTTCAGCAGAAGACAGTAACGTGCAGTAAATACTGAAATTTGCCTTTAGAGAATGTCACAGTTTCATGCTTTTGATAATACTGTTAATTGTTGGCAGATTAGAACATCTTCCACATGCATATAGGAAATTATCTGTTTTTAGTTGCAAATTTGCTATGCTCTCTTGGATTATCTGAGAACAAGACCATTGCTCTCAAAATGCTGGCTGTATTTCAAGCCTCTACCTGTATCTCAACTACCAGTTCACAGTATTTGGAAGATAATATAATCTAATAGCTCATATTATTTTAGTAAAAATGTTAGTATTTATTTCCATCTCATTAATTTGCAGTATTTTTAATACAATTAATATTAAATTAAACTGGGAGGTTCCTGCTAATTTCCAGGATGTGTTTGCTGCAATGTATCAGTAAATGCTTACCTCTTCTAAGTCAAAAGGACTTTTCTGCGCAGGCTTTAAGGTGAATTGACTGAGACTCAGGAATTTGTTAGATGTTCATTCTGCAGGTTTTTTTCTGCACGTGAGCTTGTGCTACCTTTTCTTAAAAAAACTCCCAAATTATCTCAATACTTGTTTTATTTTAAGATAATGAGAAGACTGACTTAATATAGGAAAGAAAGGCTTGATACTCCATCATTGAGAGAAGAGAGAAACAGCCTCACTGATGAATAATGTTGGAAGGATATTGAAAAATATGCTCTGGATCATTAAAAGAAATTTAGGTGGGCTATTCTGTCCTGTTTAGGTGATGTTTATTTAGTTTTATTTTGTGCATGATAGTTTTTGACTAATAGTGTTTTACTGCTTTTAATGAATGTGTGGGTTGACCTTTGCTGACTGCCAGGTGCACAGCAAGTCACTCTATCAATTCCCTTTCTCAGCAAGATAGTAGAGAAAAATAAGATTAAAAACTCCATGGACTCAGATTGAGACAGGTGATGTCTCGTTCATGTACCAGTTAGAGTCAAGAGCTGACAAAACTTGACTTTGTGGAGTTTATTTAATTTATTGTTGATTAAGCAGAGCAGGATAATGAGAGTAAGAACTACTGTAAAAACACCTTGCCCTCACTTCTCCCATCTTTCTGTATTCAACTTTACTCTCAGTTATTCTTTCTTCTTTCCATGAGCAGCTCAGAGAGTCAGGGAATGAAGGTTGCAATTAGTTCATAATGCTTCCTCTCTGTTGTTCCTTTTTCCTCACATCCTTTTCCTACTCCAGTATGTGATCTTTCCCATAGGCTCAAATTCTTCAAGAGTATACAGGATGGCTTTTCTCACATTTTCTTACTCCTCTCTCCTGCCTGCTGCACTTGTGCCAGACTTTTTGCCTCTTTCTAAAACCTTATCACAAAGGAGCTGCCACCATCTCTGTTTGACTCAAACTTGGCCAGCTGTGAGTCAATCTTGTAACCGGTTCTGTCCTGACATGGGGCATTTTCTGGTGTCCTCTCACAAAGACATCCAGGCAGTCCATTTCCCCCCGCCCCCAACTACCAAGATGTGCCGCACTGACTAATGTTCATGCCTGTCAGGAGGCTTGAGCTGAGTGTAGGAACAGGTGTGAGTGGGTACCATGCCTCTGTCACTCAACATCTTAGGCATTTTGGGTGATTGATTTCCAAAATCTCTGTATGCAGCTCCTAACTTATCCATATACATATTCCTTAGTGTGCTTATAATCTTCATCCATTCATTGATGAAAGCAGCATATATTGAAACACATTTCAATTATTCTGGCCATTAATTAATGTTTTTTTGCTAATGTATCAATTTCTTTTTTCTCTATGAGAGAGAAGAGACATTGTTTTCCAGCACAGAAACGTGAGTCTACTTTGCAACTGGGAGTTCAGTATCTTGGAAGCAGTTAAGTCTAGCTCTCATCTTGAGCAGCCATATTCTATTTTGGCATTTGAAGCAGACCTTGCAAATACTGCTGTTAAAATACATTTCTGCAAATATTATGAATAGCATTCTCGTGGCTGACTCTTGGTTTTGTCATATTTTGTGTGTGTGTGTGTGTTGTGTGCTTTGTTTTGAGATTAGCCACTCCAGCAAAATTATAAACAGCAATTACCAGGTAATTGCAGTTATAGGCGTTGCGTCATCTAGTCTCCTGTTTTCAAGTCCATGTAGCCCAGTTGTGACCTCCCAGATTCCTTGATAGCCTTCACCAATGTCCTTTTCTTTACTCTAGCTGAAGGTGTTTCTAAATATATTACAAGCCCTCAATTTTCAACACATTTCACTACTGCTGGTCTTGGACTTTGAAAAAGGTTAATACCCTATTCTTCCTACATGTCTAACATGTAAAGCCCAGGCCAGGAGTGTCAAGGAACACTTTAAGATGTGGGTGTGCCTTTGAAATGACAGTGGAACCTCTGCCTTGGGGTCGTGGTGCATTCTTTGTTACTTATACTACCATGCCTAGATGTTCTAGTGTCCTGGTTCACTCAGGTCTTTCCAGAGATACGAGATGGTGTACTGTGTGATTACAATCTCTGAGATCAGAGTGAGTTCCGCCATATACCAGGTTAGTTCACATTGTCCATACCTCCATTGGAAGTGATCTGGTATTTCCTTGTGGAGGGATGCAATAGTTGCACCCATGCATCTACCCTTCTTTTTTCTTATTCTTTTTTCCCCCTTCTATTTAAATAGCACTTAGTTGGTTTATCATTGACAAACAGGGATGATGACAATTCATGGACTGAAAACAATACTTGGAAAGGATCATCAGACCCACTGAAGTAATTATGATGCCTTGACAGATTCTGGACAAAAGAAGTGTGAAGACTGCTGTAATGACCATAAAGGCTTTGTAGATCATTATTTGCAGATGTTTACTAGATGTTTACGGTTGATAGCCTTTGTTATCGCATATGTATCTGCGTTTCTACACCTGAGAGACAACCCCAGGGCAGCCTGAAGTAAAAGAATGAAAATGCTTTCATGGTGTGCAGAGATGTTAGCTGCTGCTAGAGGAGCCAATGCAGTGACATTTCAGACGTTGAAATGTTCAGATGTCAGTGATACTGCTTTTTGGTTTCAAGGACAGTACCCTCTGTAGGGCATTACCAAAGCTGATGGAGTATAAGCCTTTTTCATCATTTATGGTATGAAGTGTGCTTTGCAGGGGTTTATAGCTCTGCTGTGGAAATTATCTCTAGGTTGAAAATTAGAATTTTAATTTCTCCTCTTAGATGACTGTAACTAAAATCAAAAACTTACTTTAATTTTGCTTCCAGAAACTTATCAAAATTGTTTCAGTGTTATAATGGTAGTAGGAAAAAACAAAACTTATTTTTTACTGATGCAATGTCTTTCATCTCAAAATTCACCAAATGAGGTAAAAGTTACTTGAATAGATTTTAAAAAAGATCACTAAGCCTAAAAACAGAATAGAACTAGTTTACTGCTAAAAGACAGTAGATGGAGCATATGGCAAGAAAACAGGGACAATCCTACTCTTCCTGTAGCAAACTGCTATAGGATCCTCCATGCTTGGGTAGTTCAGAGACTTTCAGGCTGTGAGAATAATGTGCTATGTGGGCTCTCAATATTGTGCTGCCAGCAAAAAGGTAATGGGATTCTGGTCAAATGTGATGTTTCTTGGTGGAAGGTCTGAATCTGAGCTTTTCTTTATTCCTGTACATTTCCTCTTGCCACTTCTTTCTGCTTCTTCTTACAGAGCTTGCTGCTAGGGAAGACAAACAGAGTGGATAGTTCTGCCCTTGCAGGGTTTCCTGCTGGGGTGATGAGCTGTGATGACCTCAGTGTTAGTACACAGTCACAATTTTTTACTGACTGACTAAAGAATACTTGCCACTAAATCTTTCAAGTGCTCATGGCTTTGTGAGCATGCAGGAGAGAAACTTATGTTTCCACGTCCACTTTAGGAAAGATCTCCGACCAACTGCAACAGGGTAACAGCTGTGTTCCCCATGGGCTCTTGACATCAGTGGACTCATGCTTCAAGATGTGAAGGAGCAGAAGTGTGAAGCTCAAATAAAGGTGTGGATGTTTCCTCATTAAAGGAGGAATCTCTTTAAAATGAAACTGTATTCCACACTGTGACTCTCTTAGGATTTTAGTAGGGGATATAGGTTGGGGTTTTTTTTATGGTAACCATCTTGCCTGACTAGGTCTCTGGATTATGTCAGTGTTGTCCTACTGTAGATGTAACAGGGTGCAGCTAAGAGGAAGGGAAACACTTTGCTTGCAGAAATTTTAGGCTATTGACTCATGTTCCAGAGGTTTTTTGGGGCTTTTAATAAAGGGAATCAGTCTTCCTCTTGATAACTTGAATGAGTTCTTCTGAAACAGAGAGTTGCATGGTGCTGGTTTTTGCCATTACTGGTCAGAGTAGAATAGAGGTTTAATTCCTGAGATCAGTTAACTAAAATAAAATAGCTGTGCTATGACCTCAGACAGTGGGTAGTACTGTAGCACATACAAATATTACTAAGTGACCTTTCATATTGCACACCTTCAGTAAATTTTCTGTAAATAAGAGACCTCGCTATCTGTGTTTGAGCACACTGCAGACTGGAGATGAGATGTAAGAGAATATGAAATTAGAGATCAGATCAAGTTCACTCTAAGTATATCTTACATATTTTTCACGTGAAGTGGATACGCGTGTATGAGGCCAAAATAGCTTGTTAAAGTTATCCTTTCTTGCACATCTACTGCTACAATTCAACTCAGGTGTAACGCTAGATAAAGCAAGAGATGAAACTTCCATTACTTTGAGATTTTTTTCTGTTGCTTGCTGGGATGTCAGAACCATGGGCTTCTGACATTTGCAAAACCAGGTAGCCAAGATTTGTGGCTAGGTTGTATACTTGGGAGATCTAAGTTCAAAGTAACGTATCGTCTTAGGAATGTGCTGGACTTGTTTCTCTCTATGGCTGAAGAACCACCATGAATTTTGAGGGATGTTGACTCTGCAGTGTGATAACTTATGTGCCAAACTGAAAGTGGTGGAGTGAGATTTGAAGCTGATTGAGGACTTGAAGTCTGACCTCAGGTTAGAGCTGTGGAGTGTTCCAGTTGTGTAGGCCTGTCTCTAAAGCAAGAACTGTGGGCCATTCTGTTCTGAACAAATAAACAGTGAAATCTTCAGTTTTATTTTTTTTAACACACTCTTCACTTTCTGTTTCAGGAATAAGTTAAAGAAGGGGGATGATGAAAACAGCCATTAAAGGAGCTTTTTGGCCCACATTAATAGTGCTGTTCCTAAAGTATTCATTGTAATGATTTGTTACTGACCTGATCTTACACATTCACACAGATCATGTTTCTGTTTTCCCTTTTTAAAGACCTGTTACTCATCTCTCTACTGATTTATGGGATTAACTAAATGCATTTGATTTGTAAAAAGACAGAATGGTTGGATGGGATGTCTGACTCTTATACTTCATTTTAACCCACGGTTTTTCAGGCTCCCCTGTTCTAAGTTGTGCAGACAACTTAAAGATGACAATTGATGACAATTCTGAGTCTGCCATGGTCTTATGCTCTTGGAGGTAAAAGAGAATGTAGAGGAAATGTTTATATGCAATGTAAAAGAAAAAAAATGCAAAAATCTTGAGCATCTTCTGGGTACAGATAAGGATCCTTCATGTTTGGGCTGTATAAGAACAGGATAGGTTGTTTTAAGTGCATGTTTCCCTGGATAGATTTTTTTCACTGAAAGTGTAAAGTGGAACAGTTGACAGCATCCTAGCTCTGTGTGAAGGAGCAGCTGCAGTCACAGAAATGGTACTTGAAGCTCTTTATCCTTTTTGTCAGATTCCTATTCAGCTATACTTACTTGTGTAACATCAATCTTCTTTAAAATGTTTTGTTTAATGTTTTTCCTTCCCCCATGCAGCCAGCTCTGCAAAACCATCATACCATCTTGCCCACTCTATCCCTCAGTATACGGTGCAATTTCTTTTTGTTTGTTTGATTTGTAGTTTGTTTTTTTGGGGGTTTTTTTTTGTGTTTTTTTTTGTTTTTTTCCATTGAACTAACCTACTTTGCAAGCTTTACATTCTTCCCAGGCAGCTTGATTCTGCACATATATTTTGATAGCTATATTCAGACCATGTATTGTGAAGGAGTGTGCTGCAGTTCAGCCCAGATGAGGTGGTAGGAACTGTAATGTGGTGCTGGAGAATCTCTGCATCTCATATTCAGACCTAACCCCTGTTGCCAGCCTATTTCTACTCCTTGATTTCATTTTTCCTATTGTGAATAATGAGGTACAAAGCAAGCAAAGTCAGCTTTGTCTTCCATTCCTGTGTTAGCTCCACAGTGGGGGCATGTTGGTTTTCATTCACTGAGATTGCAAGTCCAGTTGAAAACCAAAGAGAATAATTTTCTGGTTTTACTCAACTTTCTTAAAACATAATCAAATTTTAGGGAGAAGAATTATGAAGAGCAGTTGTAAGCAGGGGAAAAACACCTAGAAAAGATGTTAAAAACTGGCTGGAATATATAATATGTTGATTCATTCTTTTTTTGACCATTTCACACTGTCTGTAATGTGCTATGAAAATAATTCTGATGTCATGTTAAAAAATTTCAGCTTTACTGGAAATGAAGGAAGGAGCTCCATATTGGGGCAAGCTCTTTGGTTTTCTCATGAACTTGTGGGTAAAGCAGCAGAAGTTTGAGAAATTGATCCAGGTTTTATATTAAGACCAGTAAGTATGTTGGAGTGAGGAACTTTTCATGACATTCAGATGAGATGGCAAATCTTTCTGCTATTTAGAGTTTTGCTCCCTTCTCCCTCAAGTGGAACAATGACATGCTAGAGCATCTTATTTGAGTTTTGTTTTAAAACATGTTTCTAAAGATCCCAGTAGAAACATGCTGCGTAAGTAATGGTGATAGGTACCACATGGTTTTGGATTTCTTTTTGGTTTGTTTGGGGTTTTTTTATTGTTGTTGTTTTGGTGTTTTTAGTTTTTTTTTTTTTTTTTTTTTTTTAATTCTCCGCTCTTTTCTTGTTTTTAAGTGTTGGCAACTTGCTTTCATCTCTATGTATTTGAATTTGTAGCACAGGAGTAAAAGGTACTTCTGCAAAATATGTCAAGGTCCTACACTGGAAAATCCTCCAAAGTACAAATATTACTGCAAAGGGACATGCTTAAAAAAGGTAGTGGTGATGTTAGTGAAAGGAAATGAGCTTTTTTAAACAGGATACCACATGTCTCTATCTTGAAAGCTATTTATGGTCATAGTAAACTATATTATGACTTGGATGTAGTGCTGTGCCTTATGTTGGTGTTGTTGCAGGTTCCATTTGTCAGCAGTGCAGAGAAGGAGCCACATACTCAGGTGCAGTAATATCTCCCAACTTAGAAACCACTAAAATCATGCGAGTTCCTCACGCTTTGTCAGTGTCCGACTGCATCGCAGCGTGTTGTGACCTCTCTGGTTGTGACTTGTCCTGGATGTTTGAACGGCGCTGTTACATCGTGAACTGCCAACACAAGGACAATTGTGAACCTAAAAAAATTGAAACTGTCAAGTCTTACCTCACTTTTGTGCTGAGGTCTTCTCAGAGGCCAGCTTCACTGCTAGGGTTTGGGCAAGTGATCCCAAGCATGGTCCACTCTGTAGGACTCCAGAATGAACCATCAGAGGAAGTGAGTAGCCTGAAGAAGCTGTCTCTGCTTGGCAAAGATCCCAGCCTTGAGGAGATACCTGAATACATTGATGACTATAAAGAGTTGGAGCAGGACCCCTTTCAGGTGGGCATCAAACACGAGCAGAAGGACAGTATGGATTATGCTGACTGGGGCCTGATAGTGGCAGGTGAAAATGGCTTCAACGCTTCCACGGGTGATAATGGAGATAACCAGGAAGATTTTGCTGAAGAGAAAGGGGAGGCTGGGAAGGTGGAAAGCTTTCTGAATAAAAACAGCTCTGAACTGACTTCCGTCAATGAACACTCCACAGAGAGGTCATCCCTTCTGGAGATTACACCACTCCCTGGGAAGACATTTGAAAGGGAAGCAGCTGTTCCACTCCTTGCGCAACCTGAGGATGCTTTGCAAAAAGAGGTATGTTTGCCCCTAAGGAAGCAGGCAGGGTATCGTGAGGCTACTTGGCAATTATTTTAGTTTTCAAATCTTTGAAAATCTTAGGTTATTGCTTTATAATATTACAACTCTCAAATGACTTACAGTTGTGTTACTGTATAGAAGAGTAGAAGAGGCTGAAGAGGATAGAATTGTCTTAAGAGGGACGTGAATCACTAAAGGACTTTTGTTTTTTTCATCAGGATAAGGAGTAAAGTTCCTTTTAGGGCACTGTGAGTTTTCCTTGAAAGTGTACAATGAGTGAACCTGGACCTGGTGTTAGAGTGTTAGAGTGGTCTTCACTTCTGACCCCTGGTGACTCACTGGAAGAAGTTAGCAGAGCAGTACTAGTAGACCCTCTGGTATCCAAAGGCCAGGATCAGGGAACATAAGCTCATCCATCAATTAAATTAGGCCTGCTTCCTGAGTTTCATGCTACCAATGCACAGTGGTATTACAGGTGTAAGTGCTGAGTTAATTTTTATAATGCTTTTAAAACATGAGAGGGGCATAGAACTTAAGGAGGAATTATAGCAGTTTTGGACCATGATGTGCAGCAGGATAAAGTGGATGAGGTGTTTCTGTTCTCAGAATCCTTGAGTCTGATAATTAGAAAAATAAGTTAATTACCTAAAATCAAATACGTAAGTCAGTATAAGTAAGGTGCACCTGTTCCCTATTTGTGTAAGGTGCACCTGTTCTCTATTTATGCCAACTAGTTTGATCAGTTGAGACTAAAGGGGCCTTGATTTCTTAAGAACAGGGTGGGTTCAGTTGGAAAGTTTAAACAGGTTGTAAATTCAGTATTCCCTGGATTTGATTCCCCTTGCCAGGGGAAAGAGGAAATTTATCAGTTTTAGCTGACTTGCTCTAAATACCACAAGATTTTGTAACTAGCAAGTATCTGTTGCTGTAAAAATGGTAATTTGTTGTTGTTACTGTAGGGAAGTAAAATGCAAGCAAATAAGAAAGTTGCGTGAAGTCTGTGACAACTGCAGTTCTGGGAGGGGATGACTGATGTGTGGAGAGCAGCAAGCCATAAGAAACAGATAAAAACAGATAAACAGATAAAGACTTCAGGTAACTGGAAGGTGCCTCTGGTCTTCATGGTGGATTTAAGACATCCCAATACCTACTGGGAGGGCAAGAGAGCAGGGCAAAAGCTGTGCAGAAAGTTTCTGAAGGTTGTTGATAACTTCAAGATGCTTTGAATTGCTTCCAAGAGTTGATAAGGAGAGACTCTGCTGGACCTCACCCTTGCAGGAAAAAAGGATTGGTTAGGGATGCAGGCATGAGGTAGAAGCTCCTAAGAGGGGCAGGAATAAGTGAGGAAGCAGGGTCACTACCATGGGCTGCAGTACAGCAGTCTTTGGCCTGTTGTGGGATCTGCTTGGAAGAATTGCAAGGGAGATTGCCCTGGAGTTGAGCGGGGGCCATGAGAGCAGGCTGCTTTTTGAGGACCACCTCCTGTAGAGTCAAGGTAGCCTGTGACTTCTGTGACTGACTAGGTTGGTCTGGAGTGTATTGGCACAAGTGAGAAGAGATTAGAACTAGTCTTCATGTGTATGGAAGAGCACTTGACAACAGAACGAGTGCTGTGGCAAGCTGAAAATTAGGTACTGCTTCTGCAAGCAGAGTTGATGATGGGAGACTTGTTTTTAAAAGATCCTACCATGGACACTTTGAAATGAGCATAAGTAACGTGGGGGTTTAGGTGAGAAGAGTAGATATTGGTTATTTTTTTTCTCAGTATGCAAAAAGTATGTATATATGTACATATGAAGAGTATGATACCAAAGTAGACTGTCACTGCTAATAAAATTTAGAGTGACATTCTGTCAAGCACTAGCAGTACAGTTAGCTCTAACACAGGGCAATAGCTGAGCTAAAATGTAAAGGACATCCAACCACTGCTATACTAAACTCATCTCCTATATTTCCTTCCATCTACAAGGGGAAACTTGCAAGTGTCTTTTAGTTGCTGCCTGTGTAGTGTGATGGAAATCAAGCCACACCAAGAATTTGCAATAGCTCTGTGCTTCACCATATTTGTGCACTTTAGGTGTGCAGTAAGACTTGAAACTTGTTTCCATTGCATTTTGCTGTCTAATGGAAGACCCATTTGCATGGTGCTAATCTTTAGCCAATTGTCAGGGTCCCTGCTGAATGAACTGCCTATATCTTGTGCCTTAGAGGAGTCATAAAATTTCGAGTTCACCTAAACTATGTGTCAGAGTTGAGCAAGTTTGTTCCCTGTCTCAAAGGGATCCTTTGAATACTATTTTATGGAAGTTTGAGATTTCACATCCTGCAGCAGTGATAAATATATATGGCCAAGCCTACTTCGTAGATCTCTGCTTTGATTTTCCCACCCTGGCCAGAATATAAAGATTTAACTTTATCTTTTTACACTGACTGTAGATGAGAATTTATTGTAAAGTGAAATTGAGAGAAATCTCCTTCTCACTGGGACACAGCATCATTTTTGTGTGATCTTTATATTATGCTAACATTATGCTAGCACTGCCACTGAAATTCCAATAAAAAGGCTGAGGAATGAGATTGCTGCTTTCTGTGCAGAAGGGATGAAATGCCAAACCTGGGTCAATCTTTAGCCGCAGCTGATAATGATGCTGAAGAACTGGTAAGACAAGTGTAGTGATTGGGACGTGCTCTGTGAGCAGAGCTGTAGAAAGCATGTTAATGGGATAACATCAAAAGCTGTTCATGACATGTATTGAGAAATGGCTCTAAAGGCTCTCTATTAATATAAAGAAAGAATCTAGGGAAGCAGAAGGCTTTCAGAAACTGCCAAAGTTGAAGTGACCTTTGTTTCCTAGGTGGGAATTCCTTTGAATTTAGACTTATATGAAGAAATTGAGATGATGAGTGGTTTTAGCAGTTTTCCCTGACCTTCCCAAGAATCAGCTTCAGTCCAGACACATCTCCTCTCCCCTTCCTGGTCTCCACTCCCCTTCCTTTCACTGCAGATTATGCTGGGTCTCTTTGGTGAGGAAATAGGTTGCACAGGAGGTTGGGGTTAGTGCATGGCAGTCTCCTTTCTACTTGTAATTTCTTTCTCTTTCCTGCCACTGTTCCTTCCTTTCTGTTTCATCTGCACTGGTGTGGGCTTCTCTGTGGGCCTCATTTCCCTGGGAGGTGGCATGGGGTGCATGTTTCCACGAGGGTGTCTCCAGCCCTGTGCGCAATAATGTTTGCTTCCAGATGTTTCCTCTCATGCCTCCTGTTGTACATCCCCCCACATCCCCCCATATCCCCTGTCCACAGTGGCTATTGCCCTTTTTTGACTGGGTTTGAGAGGTTACGGTGTTGATGCATGGTGGCTTGATTCCATCCACTGCCAGACTGACTGGGACCACCAGGGTGGCCCCTGCAGCTGGTCCTCTGCTACCTAAGCCCTGCCAGCTATGCCCAACACAAATTTTCAGCTTGGCTTCAAGTTTTTCTGGTTTGGGAACTTGACTTGTGACCCTAGTGAAATAGAAGCTGCCTGTGGTGTATTGTGGTGATAGGATTTCCTTCTTATGTGTGTCTTTCTCCAGCAAGCAGGCATTTTCATCAAATCTCATATGGATTGTTTAGCACATGTTTGTGTTTCCTTCTGAAAAAAGTTGGTTTTTGAAAACCAAATTTTGTTATGAAGGAAATCTTAAATTTTTACCCTGGATTAAAAATGCTGAGAGGTCTCCACATAGTTTTTGCATTGGTATATAATCCAAACAACCTCTCAAACTGTGGTGGTTTTGTATAGGTTATGAAAATGTGAAGGTCTTAAAATCATGCTTGCTACGAAGTTTAATGAATTGCTCTGTTTATTGCACGTTATACATTTTCCTATCATCCTCTCAATTCTGCCACAGCAATTCTAGGTCTCTGTTCCTGGATCTGTGCTAACGCACTCCCTTCTGCAGCTTCCAGACAAAGCTGTTTTGACAATCCAGACAGAGAAAGGTGGCAAAAATGTGATTCCCTGATTCCCTCCCTTCACAGTCGTCAGCAGGATGTGGTGTCAGGTGCTGTGTTCTTGGAGCAAGGACCTGCACAGAGATTTTAAACTAAGAAACCCACCAAATACATACCTCTGGAGTATGTGCCCTTGGAGCATCCTTGTCATAAATGCAGTCAAATGCAGAGAGTTTCTGTATGTGATTTGGGAGAGAGAATATGGGGTTTGTCACTTAAATGAGTCACCTGACTTCTGGGTTTACATCAGAGTTCAGAGGGGTCTTATGGACTGTCAGTCTCTGGCAGCTCAATAACATGAGTACCTTCAGAAATCTGTACAGAGTATGTGCTGTGCAGCTGCCGAGATCAGAAACGTGCAGTGCTGCCCATCCTTGAAGTGAGATATCTGCAAAGAATTAATTTTCTTTTCAAAATTTCTACTTAAGATTTCTTTTTAAAATTTCCAGTTAATTTCCAGTTGATCTGCTAAGCCAAGTAAGGTTTTTAAGGTCTTAGCCAGAGTCTAGCTGCTTCTATGTTGATGCTGCAATGTTCCAAACATTTGCTCAATAGATAAGGCCTGACTTAATTCTTGTGCTTATTGTATTTGCAGGGATAATGGTGCATAAATGCAAAAAGTCAAAATGCATAAATCTCTACCTAAGAAGCCTTAAAATGGCTGACAGACTCTGTGTGATGGTGAGCCTTTTAGTGTCTGATTGGCTTTCCTTCGTAATTCATATTTAAGACTTAGAATGCAGTTGAATAACATAGATGTTCATCTCATGTTTTGGCTTTGTTTCACTTTTGATGCCTGCAGAAGCTGAGCAGTTCTGTCTGGTTAAAAATACATTGACTTGATCCATAGAGGATGTGTGAAACTCCTGAAAGATCTTTTGATATTTAGATTTACTTTTATTTTGAAGTCTCTACTTCATGTTATATGGCTGTTCTTATTTTCTGTTGGAATTCTCAAGAGATTTGCACTCAAGTCAAACCCAGGAAAATGAAGGATGTGGGCCCTCACCATTGGTGTGTTTGTATCGAGCAATAGTGGCTCTAAAAATGGGTAAAAGCAAACAACCCACAAAGTTCCTACCGTCAGAACTGCCTATCGGACTCACTCCCAGAAAGAATTCTTTTCTTTCCTTTAATTTTCACTTCCCAAGCTGGAATTTAGGTTAATCTTGCCCTCCACATCTCTCTCAGCAAATCTCTCAGTAACAGTTTCTGTCTGAGAGCTTAATTTCTGATACTGTCCCTGCTCCAGTTGTCTGCTGTCTGCTAACATTTTTAGTTTGTCTTTTTGGCTGTGACACTGCTTCAGACGTGACAGTGCCACAGGGCACCTTTTTGGACTGCAGTGTCTTGCCTAGGCTTACTGACTGAAGTGATGTTTGGTGCCACTGCAGAAAAGGCATCCTGGAAAGGTACGTTTGAGGTGACTTTGTCTCCATCTGTCCTACAAAGCCATGATGGCTGCTTTTCAGCTGCTAGATTAGCAAAGAATGAGGAGATGAGAGGAGAGAAACCAGAGAAAGCTCAGGAAAGTAGACTTCCCTCAAATTCAGGAGGCAAAAGAACACTGTGCTTTGCCCAAGTGTGGGAAGAAAATCTTTTATAAAGAGGAGGGGTAGACTGAGTGTGTAACAGAGGCCTATCTGGAGGAAAGACCTTTTGTCAAGATACAAAGCAGGATGGGCTTGAGGTTCTCCCTGTGCATGATGCTGTCAAGGGGGAGATTCCTGAAGGCACTACTTTAAGAGAGCTGCAGTCCCTGATCCTGCACTCAGTGTCCAGCTGCTCAGAGAGTACTGTCTCCATATGGAGCAGAGCTGGAGGTGTGACCACAAAGGTGCTTGTCTTGTCTGTGTTATAGACTGACCCAAAAGTGCAGCTTTTGGTGTTGTCCTCAGCATCCTCAATGATGGGCAGCCACAATCCCTGACACTGCGCAGGGATTTGTTCTCTGTGTCCATTGTTGAAGGTTGAGATGGAGTTGCAGATGACTTCCGTGCTCTGTTTTCTTGTAGGCTGGGAAGGAACAGTTCCTGGCATTGCTTTCACATTCCTAGCTCCACAAGGAGCTTTTTCTCCTGTCCAGAAGGCAGGGCTGCTCTTGTTTCCTAGGGAGGCAAACTGCACAGGGAAAGTAGAGCACCTAAAATGTAAGAGTAGAGAGTTGGGACTATTCAGCCTTGAGCAGAGAGGGTTCAGGGGATTTTACAGATGTGTGTAAATAACTCTTATGGGTGTGAAGAGGATGGAGCCAGGCTCTTCCCAGTGCTGTTCTGTGGCAGGACAAGATACAATGGACACAAAATGAAACACAGGGAATTTTATTTAAACACTAAACCCCATTTTTTTTTTTCTGTGAGGATGTCCAAACATTGGAGGTTTACCATAGAGGTGGATTCCCTGTCCTTGGAGATACTCATAACCTGACTGAATTTGGTCCTGAGCAGTCTGCTGTAGCTGACCCTGCTTTGGGAGCAGGGGCTGAGCTGTGCTATCTCCAGGGGTCCCTTTCCACCTCAGCTGTTTGTGATGTTAGTTGTACACTTTGCCAACCTTTGTAATCCTATTCTTCAGTTAATAGACAATGTACAAATAATAGTATTTTGCTGTATTGTATCCCAAACACAGTAGCCATAATTGGAAAAATGCTTTTCTCATATCATTAGATCAAAAATAAGTCTTAAGAATATTAAGGAAAACCTGCTGGCTCATTGAGGGTGTCATTGAAAGGCAAGATTAACCCAGTGCTGAGTTATTTGTGCCACACTTGCCATGTCCTTTGCGGCAGTTCTGATTTACTAACAGGGTGAGGCAGTGCTGCTTGATGCATGAAGTAGAGACATGTAGGGTGTTATATCACTGTTGAGGGAGATAAAAAGGCATGAGCAAGTTGTGTACTGAGCAGATGTAGTAAGAAACAAGAACTCTCTTATGTTTGGGTATAGCACAAAGACAATAATACCACACTGACTTTCTGACATTGGCTTTTAAATGTTTATGACTGTATTTAGACCTGTCATACTGATTTTTTTTTAATATTTTGGTAACTGGTAGCATTAGTTGTGTTCCAGGTTACCTCATCACTGCTCTACATCTGAAACTTTGAAAATCATTAGCAATTGTTACAAAGCCTGATTGGAAAAAAAAAACCCCAGTCCTTGTTTGATGGGTATTCTGTACATGAATAAAATCTCCTAGTAACATAAATCACTAGGGTCATCCTATATGCTATTAAAAAAACAACATACCTCTAAATCTAGAAATGTGAAAAATATCTCACAACTCTTTCCCTATAATTCCTTTTTTCAGGTTGCTACACCTTCCTCTTCTTCAGATAAACCAGATTTCTCCCCAGGTGTGTCAGAGAAAACCCAGACTCCCACAGTGGCCCCAGAGAATGCCACTGAAGGTGGGATCATGCTGCTTCCCACTAATACTGCATCATCTGAGCCCATGCAGCTGTTCACACCACCTGCTACTGCTGCTAAAGCAGGTAATGTTTTCAACAGAGCTGGCAATCTGAGGGGTACCTGCAGGTTGGACAGAGGGTGGGGGTGGCTTTTCTACTGTCAGGTTTCCAACCTGTTGTCAGTAAGAGCTCATTCTTTATCCAAATGTTACATAATCCCACTTTAAACCTGTAGACCAAGTGTAACAGTGCAAACCCCAGATCCTGTAGTCACTTAATTCTGAGGCAAAACCATGACCAAGTCCACCATTAGTGGGAAATGACAACTCAAGGACATACATCAAAGTAAAAAGCAGAAGTAAGACCTGTTTTAAAGGTTTTTGGGGTTTTTTTGTTTAGTTTTTTTTTTTCTGTTGTTGTTGTTTGTTTTGTTTTGGGTTTGTTTTTTTTGGGGGGGTTGGGGTTTTTTTTGGGGGGGTGGTTTTTTTTTGGTTTGGTTTTTTTTGGTTGGTTTGTTTTTTTGTTTTTTTTTTCACTTTGTAAGCAATACCTGAAGCTTTCTGGGGTTTCAGAATAGTCTCTTCTAGCCATGTTGTTGTTTTTGGTGTGACTCTTCAGACCATTGCTCCCTCTTAGAAACTCTGCAGTGGAAGCCTATCCATAGTTGCCTGATACCATGCAGCAACATAGGTGGAACCTGAGGAAGCTCAGCCCTTAACAGTGGAGAACATAGCCTCCAAATCCTGGGGAAACAAAATTTTGTTCTAATTTCAAAACTGTGAGAAAGCTTATCACACTTACAGCTGCAGAACAAATGGTTTTATTTTGAAAAGAACTTTCAACCACTGTGTCCTCTGTAGTCGTGCTACATTCAGTGTGTATGTTCATGTATCTCCTTTCTCCTGCTGAGTTTCCTGCCTCCCTGTGCATACTGACAAAGAGTTAGGAGCGCCACAAGAAGCAGAGAAGCACAGATGTGTGTTTTTCTGCACTCCTAATGTACTGAGGGATGTGGAGAGCTAAGCCCTTTTCTTCCTGGTAGAGAAAGTCTGGTTTGGGACATGCCTGACACCCTCTACCAAAATGCAACCTGCCAACCAGCTTAGCAATAGAAGGTAAGAGGAAGGGATAAGCTACAAGAGATTCCTCTCCAAGACAGTGGATCATCATTACCATTGACTGTTGACTAGGCAGCTCTTCCTTCTCCTCCTGTGAAGGAGGAGGTTGAAGAGGACCCAAAAAGGAGTTTGGAAGAAGAAGCTGAAGAGAAGGTTGTGATGAATCTCACAGTAGGTGCTGCTTTATACAAGGATGCTTTATACTGCTTTTGCCTGAATTTCATATGTTCTCAGACAGACTGTCTGGAAAGTCTCAATGACAGTCCCTCCTGTCATTTGGCCATCACCCTCTTCTAGCCATTCTATTATCATCACATGTGAAGGTTCAAGTGCAAACCTTTGCTCCACAGGTGTGTAGGGCAACTTCCACAATCAGTTGTGAAGCCTTGGGTGAATTTAAGTAGCAGTGACAGAAAGTGTGTTGTCAGTGTCTTCATTTCATCATTTTTAGACCCATCAGCTGCCACTGCTGAGTAGCTTCTTTGGCATCTCTTCTGAGTTTGTAAGTTGGGCATTTAGACATTAGTGAATGCTGCCTTCTGAGAACTTTTGTTCTGTGGCTTCCCAATATTAAAAGGAAGATATTTGAAACATTTGAAATACAGGACTAAGAGAACATTCCCTAAGTTGTGCTTTGGTATATTTCTTCTGGGGAGTGTTTTTGTGTACTTTGGCATTTTTTGAAAGAGAAATATTTTCACAGACTAGGACTGGATAGCAGGTGGATTGAATGGGCAGTTCAGATAAGAAATAACCATTTGCCCTGCTATGCAAGTAGATTTTTTAAAAGGAACACAAGGTGGACATTGGAACCTGCCTTACAAGTGCCACATGAACATGGAAGTAGTACTTCTTGGTGAAGAAAAGTGTGACATTGGAGTTCTACTATGATTTTTTGTCTTCTCTAACTGTGTTTTTTTAATTCTTGCACTTCCAATTACTGAAAAAAATACATAACTCTTTATGCAGAGCATTGTTACCTCTGATATGAAGGAAGAATGAGAATGCTTTTCTCTGAAACAGAAGTAGAGAAAATGAAACGTCATAGCTGGAGAAGAAAAAAAACTTTTGTTTGGTACAAGGTGAAGGAATCACAGTCATGATTAAATAGATCATTATTTTATAATGCATTAAGGATTTTTTTCATTGTTGCAGCCTGTTCTCTGTAGAGTACTTGTCAAATTTTACTTAATGCATTGCAAATAATATTTGAAGGTAGTAAATTTGTATCAGTTCCATCTGTTATAACAATGTACTCATCCTGTCTTATATGCAGTTAAAGAACTTTCTGTGTCTGCTGGAGATAACATACAAGTGATGTTACCTAAAAATGAAGTTGAACTGAATGCCTTTGCTGTCCCACCACCATCTACAGGTGAGTTGAATGCGTTGGTATACAAGGAGATGCATACACTACCAACTTATAAATGCAGACAAGTTCTGAGTTATGTGAACATCCACCACTTGGGATATAACAATTCTTCTCATTTCTAACACTGCCTGTTTTGTGGCTATAACTGCAGAGAGGACTTCTTCAGTTGGATTTTAAAGAGGAATTGTTTTTTAAGTGGCTTTTCCTTTCAGAACCTGAACTCATTAGCCAGATGGTTCAATAAAAAGCCTGTAATTTCTACCAAAAGATGATGTGGCCTAGTTTTTAGCAGCTTGCTGTAAAGCTCAGGGGAGGTGGGAAAATAGGTTTTGAATGCAACATTTGCGTTAAAACTGCCAGCTTCTGCACTGCAGGAGCAAGTATAAGATGTTTCATAAGTACCTATGTAAAATATGTTGGCTTCACATATTCTGGTTTTTGTGAAGAAGTCGATTATTTGTGAAGTCCATTACATCCTTGCTGCTTTACCAAGCTGGAACACACTGGGAGTTTAACATGTGGTCATACTGCTTCATTTTACAGGCTTAAGCAGTAGCAGTCATGATTTCATACTGTAGCATTTCATCTGATGAGTGGCAAACTTGATTTCTTTGTTTTCTGGGCTTGTCTTGAACACAAAACTGATTGTTCTTATGCTGTGTTATTGCTCTTAGAAACAGCCTACACCTATGAGTGGAGCTTAATCAGTCACCCTGCTGACTATAGTGGGGAAATGGAGCGCAGGCACAGCCAGACTTTGAAGCTCTCTCATGTAAGTGAGCTGTAAGCTCAGGCTCAGTATGTTTGTGTGGTCCTTTCACAGAATTGTAACCTGTGGGGAAGGGCACCTTGATTCAAGGAGTTCAAATGGCTTCAAGCCATCCTGAGTCTCTTCACTTGTTTGTGTCACCAAATTTATGCCAGTATCCTAGAGTGCTATAATAATTTTCTAAGATAAAGCAAAAACTTCTCAGTGTTTGCTTCATATTCCCCACCTCCATGCAGTGGCTAGTGGCCTGTTATGTATTCGTTTATAAAAGTAGTTTGAGGATTCAGACATCCAGATTTACTCTTTTGTGATATGATTGTCAGATGTAAGCATACTTTTGTATAATTCAACATGTAACCCTATTTGTTCTGTATTTGTTTCAGTTATCAGTGGGACTTTATGCCTTCAAAGTGACAGTTTCTGGTGAAAATGCCTTTGGTGAAGGTTTTGTAAATGTCACAGTCAAACCAGGTAAATCAGCTGACTGATATAATAAATTTCTTCTTCTTCACAAGTACAGCATAGTTATCGAACAGTCTCTCAGCTACTGTTTGTCAAGGACATCTGGCAGTCCAGTCATGCTGATGTGTTTCATATCTTGATGTCTATAAGGGGTATTTAAGAAAGTAGAGCTAAGGGTCCTGCTCACTGTGTTTAAGTGCTCTCTAGTCTTTCCCCCTCAGGCAAAGCCTGAGATACCATCATGCCACCTTTCCTGGTCCTGTTGTCCAGCTAGGGACAGGAATCATGTGCTCTAGCTGCAGGTTACAATGCACGGCTCTGATCTCAATTACACCATGTAGGAGCACTGCAGTGGAACATTGCTGTGTCAGCACGCTGCTCATCAGTAACCTCTTCTTTGCCTTGTCCAAAAAGGACAACAGATGCTGCAAAGCTGTGTGTCCTAGATTTAATCACTGGGGACTATTGATCTGTACACTTAACATTAGTTTTTCCAGGGCATTCACTAATATTTTTTTTCTTCCCCTTTTTTTCTTCCCCCCCTATCTTTCTCACAGCAGTCAGAATTAACCAGCCACCTGTTGCTGTTGCTTCACCCAAAGTGCAAGAAGTTTCCTTGCCTACAAGTTCTACCTTCATCGATGGCAGTCGTATGTACTGGACCACCCTGTGCTTATATCCTATATTTTTAATATACAGTTACATTATTGTTTGTCAATTTCAAGTGAAATTTCTTATTCTCATTCTTCTCAGAAGTTCCCTGAATAATGATTTATTTTTGGAATATGTGTCCAGTTATAAATTATTTCAATAAATTAAAAAATTATGAAACGCAACCTTGCACGTGGAGATTGAGATGCAGTGTGTCAGAGACTGCTGCATCCAGACAGCAGCTACTCTTACAACTTCTTCCTGTCCTGCCCAGAGAGCCTCTGTGCCAGTACAGCTGGGGCCATAGGAGAGAGCTGTCAGATAGGGTGTGATGAGGTGTTGTAACTACATCCATAATTACTGAGTGCAGACAAGTCAGAATGTGTAGAGTCTGAGACTGATTTTTTTTTTTTTAATTCATGTGTGTGAATAATTGTTTAGATAAATCATACCAAAGGTAACTTGATATGACTCTGTGGTTAATGAAGCTTGTTCAATTATACTTGTAGAGACAATTGTAGAAAACCAGTTAGGGATGAATGTATGAATGACTTAAATATTCATTCCGGCAATTGCTACAAGAAACTGATGTGTTTTTCTTTAATGAACGTAGAAAGCATAGATGATGTGAAGATAGTGAGTTACCACTGGGAGGAAATTAAAGGTCCCCTGCGAGAGCAGAAGGCATCTGCTGACACACCTGTCTTGCACTTGTCTAACCTTGTTCCTGGAAACTATACCTTCAGGTACCTGCATGATTATTTTCTTGGGGGCTTATCTGTGATGTCAGCTAAATTTTATTTTTTTTTCTGTGCTCACATGTATCTCCTCAAAGAACTTAATTTTTCTTCTGCATACTGTTACTCTTCATTTTGCAGTGTGAAGAAATATACAGAGTGGTTTTATCAAAAAACGCTTGCAGTGATCCTTTATAACTCAAAATTACAGAAAGGAAGGTATCATAAATTAATTATGTCCCCACTTCCAGCAATAAGAACTGTGACAGACTAATATTTTTTTTTTTCCTAGCCTAGAAGTTGACTAGTGCCCTGAATGAAACTATGAGTCAGGCTGTGAAAGTCATCCTCTCAAGGGTGGTGGCAGACAGAATAATATTGGCAGACTGGTCCTCACAAGACATTGTTATGCACTGATTTTACTAAGAGTCATTCTGTTCTTTATAAAAGCATTTTCCTTGCTACTGGTTTTCTCCATTTATGCATTGTTGAAGCTGAGGGCTGCCCAGACAGTGGAAGCAATGTTTGTGGTTCAAGGTGCTTTAGTAAAAATCAGTCCTTTTTCTGAACTGTTTAACTTAAAGCCCAGTCTGTACAGAGGCAGACTTCCCACTGACCCAGCTTGGGTTCTTTGGCTGTCAGTGGGATGCCTGTCATCAGTAGATTGTTGAAGCCAGCATACATATACATTATGCTTCACATAAGTTGCACGCAAAGTTTTACAGCTTCTACTTCTTAATTCTGTATTTTTTACTGGAATTGTTCCGTATTAGACAGTAGCAGAAATGAGTGTTAATTTTTTTTCCATGTTAAAAAGGGCAGAGTCTGGCTTACAAGCAATGCTTCTAAGTGTGTTCCTAGGGAATTAAGAAGTCAATTGTTGCATCTCTGCACCTTTGAGGGAGGCTGACTTACCTGAACAAAAAGTCCAGTGCCCTTTATACACATGGATGCATGCCCATTGCAAAATGTACGTATTCCCTAATGTCTGAGGTAATGAGCACTAGTTTTGTTCCTGTTCAGGTTCCCTTCCATGTGGTCAACTGTATGCAGTTTTCATAGCAGAGGTGGATTACAGATTAATTGGTCATGTTTGAAGTGCCTGCAGTAGTCTCATTTTAAGATTATTTTGTGCTTCTGAGAGGCAGTAATGTCTGAGGTTTTTTAAACCCTGTAAATTTTTAGTTTTGTAACTTGACATTGATATTAAGCTCCATTAAAATTAGTAATGATGTGCCACAAAGAAATAAGAAGTGAGGATCTGCTGCTGTTCTATAAGCAGAGCTTCTGAACATCCAGAGTAGTTTTAGATATTTCTCTGTATTGTTTCACTATAGGTGATGAATAAAATCCCTGTTTTTTACTGAGAACATTTCTAAAAGAGTTGGTGAAGTTGCCATTGACTGCAGGTAAAGGCATTCAGAATATCTAGGCTTTTTTTTTTTTGTTAAGGTTGAAAGTTGTCTTTGTAAAGTTTTCTGAATTTCTTTCCTACCTTAGTTGAGGGATATGTGTCGGAAGCAGAAGTTCATATCATATAATCAGTGGCTTTTGTTTAGGTGGTGTTTGAAAAAGTGCCAGAAAAAGATTAATATTTCAATTTAGAAGTTGGCAGAAGTTCATCTTAACAGATACTGTTTTTCCTGTTGTAGACTCACAGTGATTGATTCAGATGGAGCAGCCAACTCCACCATTGCATCTCTGACTGTCAACAAGCCAGTGGATTACCCACCTATTGCTAATGCAGGACCGAATCAGGCAGTCACTTTGCCCCAGAACTTCATCACACTGAATGGAAACCAGAGCAGTGATGACCATGAAATTGTCAGCTATGAGTGGTCACTTAGTCCCAAAAGCAAAGGCAAGGTTGTAGCAATGCAGGTATGTGTATTTCTCCTTTCATAGAACTGAAAAGCTCTTTTATCTTTGCCTCTAACATGAGCAAGCATATACCTAAGTAACTGCTCAGAAGCACTGAAATACCTAGAGTTATGGTATTATTTTTTGTTTTTCTCTCACATGTATTCAGCTCTTATTTTAGATACTACTTTTAATTCCTTTTCATATATATATATATATATATTAATTATTTGGGGCCAAACAAACTTGCTTGTTCCCTGGTGGTTTGGAAAGACTTCAAGATCACATTGACTGTCCTTGAACCCAAGAAGCTGTTTCACAGACTGCTATCTTTTGAGGCTCTGGGCAGGCTGAAAACTGGTTATAGGAGAATGTGAGGATAGTCAGAGTTTTCTTGAAACACTTTTTCCTGGAGAGAGTAGAACTCAAATAGAAACTTCATTTTCTGAGTGAAAGATGACAAGACCTTTTGGCAGTGTTTATGCAGCCATACTTTGTGATGGATTTTTATCCTCACTAAAACATGGGTTTCCAGTGAGGGCTTACAGAATTTATTCTCTTATTTTCATGACTGTTTCTGTTGTTGTTGTTGTTTTGGGTTTTTTTTAATCTGAGAAGTTAATAAATATTTTCATTGGACTTGCATTTGTTAAGTTGGAGATTCTTATAGCTCTGTAGGCAGTTGAGATAATTAATGTAATGAATCCAGCTGAAACTCAGGAGCCATTTTTTATGAGACTTGATTTCTGCCATCTTGGCAAATGCTTTAGATCTTCAGAACTGAAAAGAGATCACTGTAGATCTGTTTAGAAAAGAAGTAATATTATTAATGCAAGACTACCGTGTGGAGGAAATAAAAAATTATGGAAGGACTTACAACATGATGACTTTTTCTGATAATTCACCAAGACAAAAGCTTTCCAAGAGCACCCAAGCAAACTGAAATTGTAGTTTTTGAGAGCTGTTCAATCTTAAAGCAACCTTTCTGAAGGAGGGGATGACTGCTCGAGATATCCAATGGATTCACTGGGTATTTAATGTGGAAATGCAAGTACATGTTACAGTTTCTTTTTGACTAGTAATCTTTTTAATGTGCCTGAAGCTGAGGATCACAGAATCATAGAATGGTTTGGGTTGGAAGAGGCATGGAAGATCACTTTGTTCCAACACCTTGCCATGGACAGGGATGTCACTCACTAGACCAGATTGTTCAGGGCCCCATCCAGTTTGGCCTTAAATAGTTTCAGTGATCAAGTATCCACAGCTTCTCTGGGCAACCTGTGCCAGTGCTTCACCACCTTGTGAGTAAATAATTTCTTCTAATATCTAATCTAAGCCTGCCCTCTTTCACTTTGAAACTATTCCCTCTTGTCACTATCTGCCCATATAAAAAGTCCCTCTCCCTCCTTTTATAAGCCCCCTTTAGGTACTGGAAGACTGCAATGAGGTTTCTCCAGAGCCTTCTTTTCTCCTGACTGAACAACCCAAACTTTCTCAGCCTTTTTTTGGAGAGGTGCTCCAGCCCTCTGACCCATCTTCATGGCTCTTCTTTCAACCACTCCAGAGGATGTTGGTCTGTGGTGTATTATATGATATCCACTGTTAGAGTGCAATGTAACAAGTACCTCTGCTGGTTAGTTAATAATTTATCAAGTCTCTGTTCTTATTGTCATCTTTATCCAAAAGAAAAAAGGAAAACCAAACCTATTTGCATTATGATTTGGTGTTCCTCATATGAGAGATGCCACAAATGTTCATTTTATTAGCAAAAGGACCTATAGCTGGGCCCAGTCATTTTATGACTTCTATAGGTATCAGCAAATGCTGCTGGAAGAGTAAACTCGGAACAGAGTTGTCTTGTTTAATACGGGGTTTTTTTCCATAACCCTATTTGTCTGGCTTCAAGTCAAGTTTGGTTTTGCATTTAACAGTTTTTATAAGTACTAAAGGAGGTCAATATATTTGTTTTTAAAATAACCCTAAGGAAATGGAATGAGCTGTAGGAATTTTCATCAGTGTTTAATTTCCTAATTGAGAATGGTAGTGTTCCATGTGTTTCATAATTATTGTTGTGGAGGTATCGTGTATGCAGTGGTTATACCAACAGAAGAAAGTAGGATTTATTGCCTACAGATATTTCTCTGGGTTGGTAGGAAGAGATGGAACTGTGAACACATTACCTCTGTGCACCAAGTTTTAAGCCTCCTCTTTATCTGCAAGGTGCATAACCTCCTTTCTCAAACACTGTCTTTATGACTTAGAGCATTTCTTTTTCCTTACATTTGCCCTGCAAGACCTTTCATTACCCACAACCATTTCTGTTCAATCTCATGCTCTGTCCTTGCCAATGCTGTGAAGGGAGTGCGGACGCCGTACCTGCAGCTCTCTGCAATGCAGGAAGGAGATTACACATTCCAGCTGACTGTGACAGACTCCGCGCGGCAGCGCTCCACAGCCGAGGTGACACTGATTGTGCAGCCTGGTAAGTCAGTGCAGGCATGTCTGGCTCCCTCAGGGCTGGCCCAGCCTGGTGCCTTGGCACTGTTCTCCAACACCTCCTCTCCCCACATTGTACCACTGATATGGCAGCCCCAGTGCCTGGTACCCCTGGATCAAGGACTAGTCCACCTCCATTTTCTGTCAAAGCAGGCAGTTAAGTGTAGAATCAAATGCAGAATCAAACAAAAATCCAGGTGGTGATCCTGAGGGCTCACACCAGTCTGGTTATGTAAGGCAACAGAGGTCTGTTTGAATCTGCTTCTAAAACCCAAATTGTAGCTCTTGAGTTTTAATGCCCTACAGAGTCTGTTTTGGAAGCTGCTCAGAGTATCAATCAGTGCTTCACTCAGTTTTCTTATTGTTTTACAATTCTCCTGCAAGCGTCCTTCTGTGATTTGAATTCACTTAAACAAATTGTGTTTCCCAGGAAGAAGTGTCAACCAAGGACTTTTCAAAAGCTGCATCTTTCACATGTTTATTGAGGTTTGGGAGACAAATGATGAATAAGCCGAAATGATCTGGGCCTCATGATTTTTTAATGCCTTTTGTTTTTCACAGTATGTTTGCCTTTTACATCCACAGTAGCCTTTTCTGCCCCTGCACAGATCTCACATTCCACCATGAGGAAATGTTTTATCTTCCTGTTGCTGCTTAATATACACCTTTTGTAGATGAACCCTTCTGGGGCAACTTTACGGCAGTCATTCACTGCAGAAACAAGAACATGAATTGGAAGTGTGGTGGTGCCTTTTAGAACGCGTTATAGTGTGGAGTTAGATGCTATTGCTGAAGTCAGGTTCATGGGTAAATGAATACACAGGAAAATGGTAGCGTTGCCAGTTTTACCATGTCACAAAAGCAGAGGCTGAAAGCAGAGTAACAGGTTATGTTTCTTCACTAAATTCTCAAAGGCTCTCAATTGACATTAACTTAGTGACCTTGAGCAGCAGACAGAAGGGGTCAGTATCTTCTCTGAGAGCAAAGAATTGTATTTGTCTGGGAGGTTTTTAAAGGGGTGGACTGGTAGAACCAGGAGAATACCCCACCACTCACATTTTGTGACATTTCATATAATGCATTGAGCATGCAGCAAGATTTTTGGGAGTGTGACTGTGCCTTCAGATAGGACTATGAAAAAGGGAAGTATTTGCTGTGGGATTTGGGATCCCACTTGCTGTTGGATTTGGCTTGCAGCAGAGCAGACCTCCCACCTGCTGGCTTCTGCATGTCATACTTGTGATTTGTACCTTTTGAGGCAATATATCACAATTTTATTAAAATGCCCTATGTAAAATCTGATTGGCAAGCCTTGCCAGTGACTGCCTTGAAAATGTCATATACTAAATATTAATTTTGCAGAAAATAACAGTCCTCCAGTAGCAGTGGCTGGCCCTGACAAGGAGTTGACCTTCCCAGTAGAAAGTACTACACTGGATGGAAGCAAAAGCCAAGATGACCAAGGCATTGTCTTCTATCACTGGGAAAATATCAGGTATCGAAAGATTTTACTAATCCTCAGTAAAATAGAGAACAAAGTGAAAAGGATTGAGCCTGGAGCCTCTTATCCAATCATGTTGAATGATGAATCATGAATTATGTTTGAAAATTGTTTTCAGGACAATCTCACTTGGGTAAGTAATAGTGTAAGAAAGAGCAATTTTAAGTTGAACTTGAAAAGCTCAGATAGTCTCTGCCTATGTTTTGCAATGTTTCATTTTGAGGCCTACTTTTATAAAATTAAGAGAAAATTACAGAAACCTCTGTGTCTTCTGTTAAAAAGCAAGTAGCAGGCTTGGGTTGCATCCTGTAACATACAAAGTTTTTCCATTTGTGGTTAGAACTACGGTTTCTTAGTCACTTGTTTATTGAACAGTAAAGAATCAATCACTTTGCCCTGAACTTCCAGTAATGGGTGACTAAATCACTCTTGAATGATAATTGACAATATTTTATAAAAGCTTATAACTGTATGTTTATGTGCAAACCTCACTGATCCTTAATAAAAGGGCAGGGTATTTTAGCTCATGCAGCTGTTGTACGTGGTACAGGAAGAGGTCTGCTGGCAGCCAGTATGGGTTGTGAGTGGCTGTTAGAGCAATATAATTTGCATGAAATAATGAGCTATTAGTTATAGTTCTGTTTTCATGCTCTCATGAAATAGAACCATGGTGAGGTTGAACTTCTGGGGGGTATTTTCTACTCTTCTGATAGGTGGGGAAGTGTGCTTGAGTGCTTTGAATGTCTTGAAAAAAGGCATTAATGAATTCTCTAAACTAAACTCATGTCTCGAATAGTTCTTTAGCCATCAGTGCTTACAGCAGTAGTAGAACTATAACACACAAAATCAAAAGGCCTGAGCAATGCTGCTGAACTCACAGTTTGGCTGGCTGGGCACAATTATTTTTGTGAGATGTTTTGTTTCAGTGGGCCAAGCTCTGTACAGATGGAAAACACTGACAAGGCAATAGCAACTGTGACTGGTCTCCAGGTTGGTACCTATCACTTCAGGCTGACTGTGAAAGACCAGCAGGGCTTGAGCAGTGCATCCGTGCTCTCCGTCACTGTGAAGGAAGGTAAGCCTGGCTGCTGCTTCTTAGGGCATAGTGGGCAACTGGATATTTCATTCAGTAACTGATGGAATGTGAAGGAAATAGAACAGAAAGGTGTAACATATTTGTTGTTGTATTTCAGATTTGTTTAAGAAAACTGCTCTTTTGTAGTGAAGTAGTATTGTGAGTCACTGGCAGAATTAATTTCCTTTGATGCAAGCTGTTGCAATGTTCAGTATATGCAAAATTAGTTGTAATAAGCATGCTCAAAAATAATAGTTTTTGACAATTGTAGGTCTACATCATTAAAAAGATATGTTTTTATTTTATCTTTGAAATTAACCTTTGAACAGAAAAGCAGTTTTACTGTGGATTTTAAAGTAACATCCAAGAAGTGACATCTCAGTGAACCAATTTTCACTTAAAAATTTAATATTAAAAGACTTGGGTTGTTTGTTTTGTTGGGGTTTTTTTGGTGGTGTGTTCTTGTGGTGGGTTTGTTTTTGTTTGGGTTGGGGTTTTTTTTGGTTTTTTGGGTTTTTTTTTAATTGTACAAAGAAACAGTTGCTGTAGTGTGGGGTATTTTACATTTTGTGGGTTTTTTTTTCCCAACATGCATGCTGTAGAAGAGGCTTTAGGATAATCACAGTATCACAGAATGGTTTGGGTTTGGAGGGACCTTGAAAATTATCTTGTTCCAAACTTCCTGCCATAGGGTAGGACAGTAGACCAGGTAGCTCAAAGCCCTATCTAGTCTGGCCTTGGACACTTCCAGGGATGTGTTGACTTCAGCAAGCCCAGGATGCACTTGGCTTTCTGGACTGCAAGTGCACATCGCTGGGTCATGCTGAGCTTCTTGTCAGTCAACACCCCAAGTCCTTCTCTTCAAGGCTTAGAGGCATTATGCTGACCACTCCCAATATGGTCTCTGCCCAACTTATACTTGGGATTGGCATTGCTGTGACCCATGTGCATCTTGGAGAAGAAGCTGGACTTTGTTTTACTCATGTGCACCATTGCTTGAACTGTTTCAGAGTTTCAGTTAGTGTTCAGTTAGAAGTATGTGGCAACAGCTCTGCCCAAATGTGTCCATGGTCTTGTTTGTGCTGTGAAGTGTAGCCACATTCAGTTCTGTCTACCGGCACGGGTTTGATATTAAAAATACACAGTTTTCCAATAACCAAGTTTAGTCAACTGATTTTACTTGGAAGAGGCACAACCCTATGCTGTTGATAGACAACACCCTTAAGATCTGCCCAAGGTTGAATTATTTATGTCCAACTATTTGTGTACAGTGAGGTATTTCACTCAGCCCCACAGCTTCCTTGGGCCCTAGCTTGCTAGTTGTGTTCTGAAAAAAATCAGTGATGTCTAGTTTCTGAAAAGAGAGCACGTTCATCTTTCTTTTGCTTTTTTTTTCACCATATGCCCAATGCATACCTTAGTTTCACTGCTAGTGGTGAGCAAAAAACATTTGGGAATTAGACTTACTCTTAAGTTCCCTGATTGCATTTTGCCTAAATACAGGCATTTTGAAGATTCAAGATCTTGCACAAGCTTCTGTTGGGTAATAAGTCATTTTCCGGATGAAAAGGTCCCAGCATGGTGATCTCCTGCTGTGCTGTGTTTCTAAGTAGGCAGAAAATCTTGTTGCTTGACTGAGAAAATCTGGTACTTAAGTTATTGTGAAACTATAAATAGAATATCCCACAATGCTTTTTGAAAAAGATCTTTCTCCTCAACTGCAATATGCTCAGAGCCAGATTTTGTATGCCCACTCATCCTTTCCCTGTAGCTTTGATATGAGGTTCTGTTGTTATTGTCTGTAATCGTCAGGTAAAGAATTGCAGTGTGGGTGTATTGGCAATGGCATGTCACATGTTTTGAAAGCAAATCCTTCTCCACTATTTTTATGGCTAGAAAACAACAGTCCTCCCCGGGCACATGCTGGTGGGAAGCACGTTCTAGTGCTTCCAAACAACTCTGTCACCTTGGATGGCTCAGGGTCTGCTGATGACCAGGGGATTGTGTCATATTTGTGGATTCGGGATGGACAAAGCCCAGCAGCTGGGGTAAGTTTCATGAAGATTGTAATGTAATTTGGCTTTTGTTATGCACATGGCTGCAGCAGGGAGAGAAGGTATGACCCATAAGATGCTGTCAGGTATGGTGCCTGTTTCTGGTTTGTCTCTCCTGCTCTCTGTAATGCTGTGGTTCAAGAGGCAGGTGATATTTTCAGTACAGGTAGAGAATATAGTAACTAAGGAATGCAGCAATGCAGAGTAATTGGTGATAGTGTGAAGCTAATGTGTTTGAGAGAAAAATAAATCTGAAATCCAGATATTCCAAAGGAGGAAGGGTCTGAGAGAGCAAGTACCAATAAAGATTAAGGAATCCTGCCTGGTAGCATATGAGATAAAGTTTAAGGTAAAAATGGTGTTTGGCATTACATGTGTAGGCATCTTCCCTGGCAGACAATTAGCCTGGGGGATTAGGGCAGGGGATGCTCTCTGAGTGGGGCAGACAGCAGAAATACCTGAGAATAAACTTCAGTTATGTGTCAGCTAATAAAACTGGGATAATTTTTTCCCCTTTTGCAAAGAGTTTTGTGGACTGCTCTTTGATCTTAGAAGGAAGATAAGCAAGATCAGTAAATCAAGTACTGGGAGAGGAGAAGTAGCAAAGTCATAAAAAAAACTTCTAGAAGCAATTCACATGAGGCTGTAAGAATTGAAGAGGTTTAGCTTAAATATAACTGGCAGAGTTGATAGTTGAAAATGCATGAACTCCAAGGAGAAGAAATTAGGAGTTAAGGAAGCAGAACTAAAGATACCGGAATAAAATTGAGAAATAATAATGTAACTAAATAATAATGTCTTGGATTTTCAAGAAGATGAGTTCTTCAGATTGTCAGCTGTTCTCTCTTTGGGTAGTTTTAATGAAAATATCCATAGTGTGCAGACATCCTTATTAACTGTTGCTTCTAAATTTTATTACTCTGCTATAAACTGTGGGTAGGTCACATTCATCCCAAAAGTCAAAGCAAGAACACACAGCATCATACAAGATAGCTGACTTGGTAATGAAACCTGCAAATGAAATCTTTCTCTGAGGGTGTAACTATTCCGGACCTTGTTTTTGCAGGATGTGATCCATGGCTCAGACCACGAGGCAGTACTGCAGCTAACTAATCTTGTGGAAGGAACCTATATTTTCCACTTGAAAGTGACAGATGCTAAGGGAGACTCAGATGTTGATTCAGCAACTGTTGAAGTGCGGCCTGGTATGACAATTAAAAGGTCATCGACATGTTGTGAATGCCACATCTTTGTTCTTCTCTTCACTTATTTATTCAGATGTTGATGAGAATCTCTCAAGTTAAAACAGAGCAAACAGGTCTCTCTCTTTGTGCCTTCTTACTGTTCTGTGACTAGGCCCAAGTGTGTTAAAAGGTGGCATAAGGATTCTTAACTACTACAGTTGCTACAGTTAGGACCATAAATGAATAAAAATTATACTTACTAGTTAATATTTTCATTAGGCTTTTGTTGCTTCTCATTAATTGTAGGTTTTATGTTTCTTTTTCTGATTGTTAATTAGTTTGGCCAATAGAAGGAGATGGGAGCTGACCATTGAATTTAAGTACAAATGCTGCTGTTTGATGGTTGAAAGTGTGGCTTTGTTTGTTTTTCTTCTTTTATCCTGAAAGACCAAAAAATTCCTCAAAGAATTTCAGGGGGTTGGAAATGCATGTGAAATAGCTAAATGATGGAAGTTGAAGTCTCAAGAAAAGAATCTGAAATCTTTGGTCTGTCAGAGATACCTTGTTTATCTGGCTTCAGGGCAACTATTTTATTTTTGTTCCTCAGTTTACTATTGAATGTAGTCATAGTAATTGGATTATGACTCTCATGCAATATCTGTGAAGTTTGTTTTGTTTGCAAGGCACTCTAGAAGTTCAAGCACCATATAACAGAAACCTCAGTTTGTAAGGGTAGACAGGGTAAACATACCTGATATTTCTCAGATTTACCATCCTGATTTAGACTTGTTCACTGTCTTGCATGCTAAAATACAGGTCCATCTTTGGCTCCCTTTTCCTCAGTTGTCAGCAGTAGATTACTATCAGGGAACTTGGTAATTTGACTCATCTAGTGCTTACCTCTGACTTTAAGGTGGCAGCATTTAGGAGAGCAGAAGTTGCTCTTCTGCACGGAAATGTGTAAATGCTGAAAGTGCATCCCAATGTACTTTATTTCTATTGATAGGATGGGTTACTATCTTAGGACTCACTAGGTTTGTTTCATAGATGATATGACAAAATAAGCTGAGTACTTCTCTAAGAACACAAAAGAGCTGGCTTATCAGTGATATGGGTCTTATGCAGAAAACTCTAGTGTTAATAAATGCTTTAAGTACTGCATGTGCTTGGTACTGAAATACTTGCCAGGCTCTGAAGGAATAGCATGTTCTTCTTCTGTCAGATCCCAAAAGGAGTGGTCTGGTGGAGCTGATCCTGCAGGTTGGAGTGGGACAGCTAAGTGAGCAGCAGAAGGACACTCTGGTGAGACAGTTGGCTGTACTGCTGAATGTTTTGGATTCAGATATCAAAGTTCAGAAGATACAAGCCTACTCAGATATAAGGTACAAAGATGTCCTATTGTGCCAGAAAGACTTGTGATATACTTTGCCTCTCTCACTGCTCATAATTAGTTGCAAAATAATCTTTCCTAAGATGACAAAAAATGCTATACTTCTCAACAGAATATACTTAAAAAGGTAAATTTGTTCTGTGGCAGAAAATTGATGAAGTAAACTCTGTAGAGACTCAGAAATTATGTGTTTTGTTTTTAAAAAATCCCATTTCTTCTGTACAATTTTTTTTTTTACTTTAAAGAAAGTGCATGCATATAAATTTCAGTGTCTTTGTTCCATACAGTGCTGCTATTTTTTCCAAATGTTGGATGGAGTGAGATAAAGAGACTTTCTCACAGTGAAGCATGTATTGTATTTCAAAATAAGGTTCCAGCTCTGTTTAATCAAACCTATTTTATTTCCCCTTTTTTTTCTGCTTCTTCTCCATGGTTTTGATATCCTTAAATATTTTAAGGATAAAAATATATTTTATAAACATTTTCCCAAGTAACTGGTGATGAAAATCCATTTTTTGCACAGCAAATTCCACAGTGGATTCTCTTAAATGTTGTATTTTACCGTGAAGAAGAAATACTCCCTCCACTTGGTGTAGAATGCTAGAGATGGCTGTGTGTACCCTGAGGAACTTCTCAGCATGATTGGTAGAACCAGTTTTCATGAGTTAGCTTTAAATTACTTGTTGTCAATCACTTTGTAATTTAAAACTTGTTTAGCTTTTGGGGAGCTTCTTAAAATTTAAAAACACAGTGTGGAAAGTCTACCATTTATAGCCATGATATTTTTAATCACAGCTTTTCAAATTAAAATGTTCCCTGAAGTGTCTGATATAGGGTGAGAACAACACCACCCAACTTAAAAGTTGTGGATAACAGGGCAGGAGGGCTTCCGCATGAAGTTCTCTGGATTCCTTGCTTCTGAGTTTTTTCTCCTATTAAATTCAGTATCCTAAATTTACTGAAATTGCTTCAGAGTGTTTTGTGACAGGCTCTGTATGACAGTGGAGAAAGCAAATGTATACATACTTAAAGCAAAAGTCAGGAAGACCATGGAGGGAATTATATTTGATGTTATCTTCCTCTGTCTTCTGTGAAACTGAAAATCCCAAGAACTGCTGGTATTTCCAGCTCAGAATGAAGATCATTTGAGTGCTCCACTGAGTTCCCTAATCTTTATCAGTGGTGATGTTGGCTTTCCAGAAGCAAAAAAGACTAAACACTGTATGCCTTTATTGCTGAATGCCTGACAAAAGCGGTCTGTGACAGCAGTCCTAACCTTAGCTGTTCTTTCTGCAGCACCGCAGTTGTGTTTTACGTGCAGAACGGGCATCCTTCCACGGTGATCAAGGCATCAGATGTCTCACGGACTCTGCATGTGCAGCTTTTGAAACAGAAGGCTGACTTCTTGCTTTTTAAAGTCCTGCGAGTTGACACAGCTGGTATGTTTTGGACTGTGCTTGCCTATCTCAGAGCTTTGCAGACATTTGGCTAACACAGCACCTGGAAACACCACGTGAAGTCTTTCTGTCTGCCATCTGGTGTCTGGGCTTGGTGGGTGTAGCTTTACAAAAGATGATGTTGAGGACAATACTTAAAATGCTTCATGATTTGTGGTAGGTAGACTGGTGTCAGTCACTCTTAAAAGACATCATCTGTATCAGCAGGCGAAAGCACATCTTAATCTGGTCTGCATCAGGAAGGCCTGTGGAATGAGGATAAAGATACCTTTTCTTAGAAGATGTGCAAAACTTAATATAGCCATAAAGTAGATATGTTTCATGTCTATACTTCCTTCAGGGCTTTTAGTGTTCAGTAAATAGGCTTGTCGTCTAACTTGTTTTTGTCTGCCTATATCAGGCAAAATGGGTGATAGCTGTGTTACCATCTAGTCTTCTAATCTTTGCAATATACACAGGCCACTGGGGTTTCCTATAATGAACTCTTTATTTTGCCCAAAAAGATGCTTGAACTTCTAAGCTTATTTTAAGCTTCATAAGTAATGTCAACCCTTTATGATCCTTAGGTATTATAGACATAACTTCTGCATAATTTAAAATCAGGACACAGCAATTCAAATACAAACAAAGTAAGCAAGCTCTGCTGATAAAATAGTCACTGATTGTTTAGTAAATTCTGTGTTGATTTTCTGACTGAAAAGGCTGTTGTTCTGTTATAAATATGCTCTGATTACATTCTTTCTCTACACAGCCAGCAGTCTGCTAGACTATAGATCTATTTGACACATAACCCCAAAGGAAAGGGAGTTTCAAAACATATCACAGTGTTATGAGCCAGATGTTTTGCTACCAATCTAGTCTAACAATAAGAGGATGTATGACAAGTTGTCCATTTACACAATGGACCCTTTGTTTGGTTCTGTTCTCAGCCTGTCTTTTGAAATGCTCTGGACATGGGCACTGTGACCCCATAACAAAGCGCTGCATTTGCTACCAGCTGTGGATGGAAAACTTGATTCATCGTTATCTAAATGATGGAGAGAGTAATTGTGGTGAGTTTTGGTGTTGCGGGATGCCTTTCAAGAGTAACTTGCTGTCATGTGAGGCTGTCAATTATTTGTTCTCAGAATGGGGAATACTTAAGAGGTAGATGCTGAAGGAAGACTAAAACAGTCTGTGTTTTCCAGCCCAACAATACCTTTCTATAGAAAGATATTTGAAAAATTTCTTGAAATGATATCTTGACAGTAGTAGCCTAAATTTTGAAGAGAATCACTATTTGATGAAATAATTTGAAAAACTTGGTAATTGGAGGGAGATTTTGCAACAATTTGGGGCCGGTTGGAGGATTTGTTGAATAACATGGGCATTGCAAAGCTTTTGAGTAGGGCTGTTGCAAAGCTGCAAAAAGAGCCAGCAATTTCAATTTCTCTGAGTGGGTGGTTGATGCATCTGTGCCAGAATATGATCTGATCTAAGCAAAGAAGACACCAGTCTTCCAGACTGACCAATACTGACCTTTAGAACCTGATAACACTGACAACTGTGAGTACACACATGTTGGAGTTCAAATGATTGCACATCTCTCTGTATCCTTTCCTGTTTTCCTGGATTTATAAATATAAATGTGCAGCTAGAAGGATCTATGTCTAATCAGTTCCTCTTCTGAAGCACTACTAAAGTGCCAGACCCAGAGCACCACTTTTTATTTCAGTTAGGGAATGATAACTGAGGTGATAACCATGACCCTTTGCAGGACTGCCAGTTCACATAGAATTCAGATATCTTGGGATTGTAAAAGGTATTTGAGAGTATCTAATATCCAATAGTATAGCTAATGTGCACTTCTAATCTTAAAGCTTGAAGATTTTTAGGAATTCATCTGAATATGTTGGTGCCGAGTTTTCCCACATTCCTGTTGTCACTCCCCATTCCTCAGGATTGGTTATTTTAATGGAGTTGTATTAGAAGTTATTCTATTTGTATGACCTTACAAAGCACTGTTGTGTTTCTTTTTTCAGAGTGGAGTATACTCTATGTGACTGTATCTGTTTTTATTTTGATTGTGGTCCTGGTAGGGTTTGCCTGGTTCTGCATCTGCTGCTGTAAAAGGTACATGATTTGTGTTTCTTTTTGATGGGGTGTACACAAAAATTGCACACAACTGCCATGTTTTAGTCCAGTCCATAGCACAAAACCATGGAGCTCATTTTGGACATGTGAGGAGCTTTCTGTAGCTGATTCCGTAGACACACACTTCTTTTCAAAAAAAGGAGTATCTATTTGTGTGTCTATGCTCTTCTGCATTATGAAAACCAAAAAGTTAATGTTGCATTATCCTTCATATTAAGTGATAATCAATGTTAAAGTGCTGAGAGTATACTGCAGATCGTCAGTCTCCTGCTGAGTCCTGCAGGTACTCCATGCTAAAAAAGCAAAAGGCACACCCTGAAGGTCACTGATGTAGGCATGTTCTAGGCCATGGGAAAGGATCTGCTCCCAGTCTGTTTTATCCTTTGGACAAGAAGGATGAGTGCCCAGGCTACATGTGGCTTACAGGCAAGGAGTACTCTAGTGATCTCAGTCATGCAGACTTCTTGCTTTCTCTTTCCTTAAACAGGAGCATTCATACTACTGAATGTTGTTTCCCTCCCTGCCTCCCCTCCAGTCTTTCTTAGTGAGCTGATAAGAAATTCTTTTTCAAGTGACAAGCCCTTTCAAGTTCTGTCACTAGAGCAAGTGTTTTTGCTGCAGCTCAAACAGCTCAGCAAATAGATAGCTTGTTCAGGTGTTAGCAAAAATAAAATGCCATCAAAATCTTTCTGGATTTTCATCTTTTTCTAGTGTGTCTTTGCAGTATGTAAAGGATGTGTAGGAGTGATACCAATTTTATTTTTATGGTTGAAGGAACAGCGCTGTTAATAGAAAACTTTAATAGTAAAATGTGTCCCATTCCACTCCCACAGTGTGGAGTGGAGCCTCACAGGCTTGTGTATTGGATGATTATTTGAGGGATTTTTTTCTAAGTTCACCTGCTTCTGTCCTTTGTCCTCATATGGCTTATGCCTGAGAGTGAGGGCTGGTTGATACAGATCCATGTGAAAGAGAAGGGAATTACAGCACAGGACAGAATGTCAAGAGATTCCCTTTGCCTTGCAGAAGGAAAAAGACAGTGTAGACTCAAGATGTGGCTGGAGATTTGGAGTTTTTAAAAACTTTGAGTTGCCATATGAATTCTACAGAAGATCATGGAGGGGAGGCCAAGGCTAGCTGTTGCTCTAATGCTGGCTGAGCAGTAAGGTAGCTTCTCCATTGTGAACTGTGGAGGTACATGAATATTCATCTACCATGTTTGTAGTTACTATGCTGAAATTGAACAAGCTGTGGCTTAGGAGAGCAAGTCAATCTACCTTGCTTTCTTCATCTTTTTATATCGATGAAAATTAGCTCTACTGTCTTGTCCATATTGTACAACTGCCTTATTCAGGTATAAACTAGCAATATTTTTAAGTGGAGGTGAGAAAGTACACTGGGGTTTCCTATAATGAACTCTTTATTTTGCCCAAAAAGATGCTTGAACTTTTAAGCTTATTTTAAGCTTCATAAGTAATGTCAACCCTTTATGATCCTTAGGTATTATAGACATAACTTCTGCATAATTTAAAATCAGGACACAGCAATTCAAATACAAACAAAGTAAGCAAGCTCTGCTGATAAAATAGTCACTGATTGTTTAGTAAATTCTGTGTTGATTTTCTGACTGAAAAGGCTGTTGTTCTGTTATAAATATGCTCTGATAACATTCTTTCTCTACACAGCCAGCAGTCTGCTAGACTATAGATCTATTTGACACATAACCCCAAAGGAAAGGGAGTTTCAAAACATATCACAGTGTTATGAGCCAGATGTTTTGCTACCAATCTAGTCTAACAATAAGAGGATGTATGACAAGTTGTCCATTTACACAATGGACCCTTTGTTTGGTTCTGTTCTCAGCCTGTCTTTTGAAATGCTCTGGACATGGGCACTGTGACCCCATAACAAAGCGCTGCATTTGCTACCAGCTGTGGATGGAAAACTTGATTCATCGTTATCTAAATGATGGAGAGAGTAATTGTGGTGAGTTTTGGTGTTGCGGGATGCCTTTCAAGAGTAACTTGCTGTCATGTGAGGCTGTCAATTATTTGTTCTCAGAATGGGGAATACTTAAGAGGTAGATGCTGAAGGAAGACTAAAACAGTCTGTGTTTTCCAGCCCAACAATACCTTTCTATAGAAAGATATTTGAAAAATTTCTTGAAATGATATCTTGACAGTAGTAGCCTAAATTTTGAAGAGAATCACTATTTGATGAAATAATTTGAAAAACTTGGTAATTGGAGGGAGATTTTGCAACAATTTGGGGCCGGTTGGAGGATTTGTTGAATAACATGGGCATTGCAAAGCTTTTGAGTAGGGCTGTTGCAAAGCTGCAAAAAGAGCCAGCAATTTCAATTTCTCTGAGTGGGTGGTTGATGCATCTGTGCCAGAATATGATCTGATCTAAGCAAAGAAGACACCAGTCTTCCAGACTGACCAATACTGACCTTTAGAACCTGATAACACTGACAACTGTGAGTACACACATGTTGGAGTTCAAATGATTGCACATCTCTCTGTATCCTTTCCTGTTTTCCTGGATTTATAAATATAAATGTGCAGCTAGAAGGATCTATGTCTAATCAGTTCCTCTTCTGAAGCACTACTAAAGTGCCAGACCCAGAGCACCACTTTTTATTTCAGTTAGGGAATGATAACTGAGGTGATAACCATGACCCTTTGCAGGACTGCCAGTTCACATAGAATTCAGATATCTTGGGATTGTAAAAGGTATTTGAGAGTATCTAATATCCAATAGTATAGCTAATGTGCACTTCTAATCTTAAAGTTTGAAGATTTTTAGGAATTCATCTGAATATGTTGGTGCCGAGTTTTCCCACATTCCTGTTGTCACTCCCCATTCCTCAGGATTGGTTATTTTAATGGAGTTGTATTAGAAGTTATTCTATTTGTATGACCTTACAAAGCACTGTTGTGTTTCTTTTTTCAGAGTGGAGTATACTCTATGTGACTGTATCTGTTTTTATTTTGATTGTGGTCCTGGTAGGGTTTGCCTGGTTCTGCATCTGCTGCTGTAAAAGGTACATGATTTGTGTTTCTTTTTGATGGGGTGTACACAAAAATTGCACACAACTGCCATGTTTTAGTCCAGTCCATACCACAAAACCATGGAGCTCATTTTGGACATGTGAGGAGCTTTCTGTAGCTGATTCCGTAGACACACACTTCTTTTCAAAAAAAGGAGTATCTATTTGTGTGTCTATGCTCTTCTGCATTATGAAAACCAAAAAGTTAATGTTGCATTATCCTTCATATTAAGTGATAATCAATGTTAAAGTGCTGAGAGTATACTGCAGATCGTCAGTCTCCTGCTGAGTCCTGCAGGTACTCCATGCTAAAAAAGCAAAAGGCACACCCTGAAGGTCACTGATGTAGGCATGTTCTAGGCCATGGGAAAGGATCTGCTCCCAGTCTGTTTTATCCTTTGGACAAGAAGGATGAGTGCCCAGGCTACATGTGGCTTACAGGCAAGGAGTACTCTAGTGATCTCAGTCATGCAGACTTCTTGCTTTCTCTTTCCTTAAACAGGAGCATTCATACTACTGAATGTTGTTTCCCTCCCTGCCTCCCCTCCAGTCTTTCTTAGTGAGCTGATAAATTCTTTTTCAAGTGACAAGCCCTTGCAAGTTCTGTCACTAGAGCAAGTGTTTTTGCTGCAGCTCAAACAGCTCAGCAAATAGATAGCTTGTTCAGGTGTTAGCAAAAATAAAATGCCATCAAAATCTTTCTGGATTTTCATCTTTTTCTAGTGTGTCTTTGCAGTATGTAAAGGATGTGTAGGAGTGATACCAATTTTATTTTTATGGTTGAAGGAACAGCGCTGTTAATAGAAAACTTTAATAGTAAAATGTGTCCCATTCCACTCCCACAGTGTGGAGTGGAGCCTCACAGGCTTGTGTATTGGATGATTATTTGAGGGATTTTTTTCTAAGTTCACCTGCTTCTGTCCTTTGTCCTCATATGGCTTATGCCTGAGAGTGAGGGCTGGTTGATACAGATCCATGTGAAAGAGAAGGGAATTACAGCACAGGACAGAATGTCAAGAGATTCCCTTTGCCTTGCAGAAGGAAAAAGACAGTGTAGACTCAAGATGTGGCTGGAGATTTGGAGTTTTTAAAAACTTTGAGTTGCCATATGAATTCTACAGAAGATCATGGAGGGGAGGCCAAGGCTAGCTGTTGCTCTAATGCTGGCTGAGCAGTAAGGTAGCTTCTCCATTGTGAACTGTGGAGGTACATGAATATTCATCTACCATGTTTGTAGTTACTATGCTGAAATTGAACAAGCTGTGGCTTAGGAGAGCAAGTCAATCTACCTTGCTTTCTTCATCTTTTTATATCGATGAAAATTAGCTCTACTGTCTTGTCCATATTGTACAACTGCCTTATTCAGGTATAAACTAGCAATATTTTTAAGTGGAGGTGAGAAAGTACAATGACATTCTGTATTTTGGGGTATGTATATGAAAAGGAAGGGGGGGATGCGGATTTATATGTGTATATGAGAATTTAATGTCTTTTTGGTTGCTATATTTTTAGCAGGAAGAGGACAAAGATAAGAAAGAAAACAAAATACACCATCTTAGATAACATAGACGAACAGGAGAGAATGGAGCTACGGCCCAAATATGGTACGTGATGTATGGCAGCCTGGGAGCTCACCCACCAAGTGTGCAGCCAGTGTGTCTGAATTGATACTGTAGGCAGGAGGAGCCCAGAAGCAGGCCTGCAAATTTGGGAATGGCAGAGACAGACAGCGAAGTGGTTGGGGGAGAATCAGTTAATTTCTTTAATAAAGCCTTGGGCTCAGCCTGTGCTCTGAGCTTCAGAGTTCATCTTAATTTGAACATTCAAGTGCTCCACAGACTTTCTCCATGTAAGCCTTCCTTCTCTGCACATGCTTTAATTTGGAGCTGGTTTTGCGGCTGCACAGCAGTTCCCTACTGACCCATCAGTGCCCTGTTAGACTTCAGTAGATGTCAGCTGCTGATTACATGTATTTTAATTTACCTGACTTTCAGTTTTTAGTAAGGGAAATTTTGGAATCCAAGGAAACAAAATCATTCTGAGAATTTGCTGTCCTAGAAAGACAGAGATAATATTTCTGTAGAAATCATGACCTTTCATTGCCACTCATGTTAATAAGGTCATTGAGTGGACAGACTGATTCCAGATTCAAGACATTAAAAATATATTGGGTATGTACTAAGATAATCTAGTTGTTTAACTACATTTAAATTTAAATACATATATTCACATTTCAGAGTCGTAAACTGATGGGCCTGCAATGAAGTCATAAGAGTATCTGAAATGGTATATGATACTTCTAAAGTCAGTTTTTGTATTGATGTATGCTGTTGCATTGCACTTCAGAGAATGTTTTCACTTGCCATTCATATCACAGCAGGGAAGAAGATGGTAGTAGGCTACTAAAAATCCAAGCCTTTCTAATGAGTTTGTTTTGCTTTTTTATTGTCAGGTATAAAACACAGAAGTACAGAACACAACTCCAGTCTGATGGTCTCTGAGTCAGAGTTTGACAGTGATCAGGACACTATCTTCAGCAGAGAAAAGATTGAAAGAGAGAATTCTAGAACACTTATAAATGGGTCCATCAGAAATGGAGTTTCCTTCAACTACAGCTCCAAAGACAGATAACTGAATGAGAGTAAAAGCACAGAACACACTGCTGTGACACATCTGAAACATGCTGGCCCACTTCTGTTTTTCCAGAACAAAAATCTTCCTAAAATATCAACTAATTGCAGATTAAAGGGTAAATTTTTAGCACAGGTAGGGAAAGGCAGAAGGAGGGAGAAAGGATTAGATGGTCAGCTAATTCCTCTTGTCACCATTATAGGAACAAGAAAAAGCACATCTTATTTCTTGCATGTTCTGTGCTGAATGTTTGAACTTCAAAAGGCCTTTTTTCTATATCACTGCTACAAAACTAGCCAGGGCTGTTCTGCTACAAACTATGGTAACTAACAATGACATACAGATTCATATGTGTCCTAATGCTCTCTTTGAGAAGTGGTGTGGTTTACAACAGCAAAAGGCAATAGAGATGAAGTTCCTTACAATTATAGAGAGCATTATGTGGCCACAGGCTCCATCTTAATTTTTAATTTAGGATGGAAACACAAAGGGCATTTTTAGTGCATTGTCTTTATCCATCTGTACTTTGGGACTTCCTTTTCTAGGGTAGTGTTCACTGGGTGAAAACATTCTTGTTTTCAGAGAAAGTTAACAACTGGAGCAGTTGCACTGGATCAGCTGTAATGTAACATAGTATATCTGTGTCCTGTAGGATGCAACATTCCTTGTATGCACATAGGAGGTGTGATATCTGCAGGGAAATCCAGACTTAGGTTGCTTCTGTAATGATCCAATTGCTTTGGCTCTGCCATGTCCATCCAGGAAACTGTAGCAGGAAGGACTTGGTGCAATGCACCTTGAGCATCCCAAACAACCTTTTTAGATCACTTCGAGAAGCTCTGGACCTTTTAAAATTAAATGCTCAGCTGAAGTGTTTTCATCTGTCAGCATCAAGTGCTCAATTAAAGGATGTGCTGGGCGCTTGTGCAGTGAAATGTTTGTGGCAAATACCCTGTGTGGAGCAGGAGGTTCATTGTACTTTCATTGTTGTGGTAATTGGTATTGAGCAATGTTTTAGCTTGAACATGAGATTGTTTGACTTTTTCCTCTCTGGCTATTGAGTGACTGGATGTATTGGCCTAAAGAGATCCTTTTTGGTCTTTGGCAAGGGTAGGTGTATTGCAGTTCTGACATTCTTGTTCACAGTCTGGGTAATTTTTTCACAGTCTGCTTGTTAGGCTTTGAAATCATGTCCCCAGTACTGCTTTTGAAATCCGTAACTGAAGACCTGACTTTTATACTCAGGCCTCACTTGTGGGAGTATCTGTATCAGTGCTATTGTTTAGCCATGACATCAGCTTTTCCTGGGGGTACTCTATGGATGTACTGAAGTCTAGGGCTGAGATGGAGGAAAATGTGTTTGATGGAGAAAGCATTCCTCTGGGAGCATTTTTGAAGAGGTTGTTTTGGTTTTGGTTTTTTTTAATGTTTTGGAAGTTTGTATTGTTTTGGGTATTTTTTAATACAGTGGTAGAGAACCAGTTATCAGAGGATGGAGCAGTATAGAGATCATGGGGGACAGTTAGAAGGGTCAGGGAGGTACATAGCCCATTTCCATCATGAGGAATAATGTAGTTGAGGATTTCGGGCTTTCTCCATCCTTTCTTTGAAGAATGACACAACAGAGTAGCTAGGTTGAACACTGTGGCTTCTGTGCTTCTCTTGTTAATGGACTTGAGCAACAGACAGAATTATCTAGGCTGGAAGAAATCAGTAGTCAAAAGTTGCAGCAACATAGCATGCTCATAACTTGTTTCATACTTTTGATTATCAAGAGCAGTCAGCAACAGTCCCTAAGGCAACTAATTCAGCACTGAGGAGTATTTACCCTGTGTCCAGCCCTGCATTTTTCTGGAGATCTTTGTGTGGCTGCAGGAGTCATTGTGGTGGGAGAGGCTGTGAAGAGCTAAAAAGGGCTAATACAGGTGTTGTCTATGTTTTTCCCATAAGAAGTGCAGTATGAATGGTATGATTTGCTTTATTCAGAAACCAAGTTTCAACTCTGTGTATGGGGGGATTAGGCTATTTCTTGAAACAAATCTGCTTTATCACACTCTTCTTCTTGAGAGTGTGAGTGTGTATGTGTATATATATATTTTTAAATATCTTGGTCAACAAAAGCAAGGTCAGCTCCTGATGTCTTTCAGTTCCTGCTCCAGATGTGTTAACATATAAAAGCAGTGTTCACTTTAAAGCATTTCTGAAAAAACTTAAAGCCCACTCAAAATAGTAATTTATTTCTTTCCTGTGAAATCCAAATGTTGGACTTAATCCATTATGAACAACTAGACAGAATGTTCTAGCAGGAATTATTCTCTTGAAAACATGCATTTTTAAACAAGGAAATAAGTTGCCTAAAGAATTTCAAGTTTGTACATGCTGTGCTGCCATTGATGCTTCTGCTAAATACTGTCTCCAGTGTCCCTTTATCTATAGCTTACCTTCTAGGACATGTCAGTGCAGTCTGCAGCATCTGTCAGTTTTGTGAAATTAGTGACTTATGTCTTTTGGGTTTATTTTATGTTTTTAAAGCCAGTGCTGAAACCTAAGATGTTCTTCTTTGGAGGTATTGAAATATCTTTTTTTTAAAAAAACAAACAAACATACAAACCCCATTAAAATAAAGAATTGTTTCTCTAGTAAAAACAACTTTAGGAATCATAAACCAGTATTCCTTAATGCTGCAGAATTTCCAGGACTATTCCCCTGCTCACAGACGCACACTGGTGGGCCCAGATCTTTGGATCTCTTCTAAGTTCATGGGCCATGAGAACATATGCATGATTTGGCTAAGTGTTTCTCACTCTAACAAATAAATACTAGACCAATCTCTCACTGTATAAGGCCCTTGCAAGTGGAAGTTGCTTGGTAAATTCAGTTCTCTGATGATACTTTAACATCTTCGTTGCTAACAGTATTTTAGCTGTGTTTTCAAAGTTGAATATCGTTTAAATTTTTCAGCTGCTTCTGATTCTTGTTTGATTATTCTACCTGCTTGGAAGGAGAGTTATTCCTCTTATCATAAGAACAGGCTTGCTTTTAATATGTGGCACTTGCACAGAAGCTGAAAGCAATAATTTCTGGCTCTGTGAATTTGTGGTATCATGTTCATGTCACTTAGCCAAGCATGTTTGTCAGGAATTTAGGAGGGACTGTAGCAAGCCTTGTATCTTGATTCAGAATAATTGCTACTTCTAGAACTACTACTTTCTTGCAGAATGTTAGTTCATACCTTGAATGAAAGGGCCAGAAAACTGGCTGTAATGGTGCAAACACAATGGCAGAATTTGGATTCTAATCCTTTCGTTCAGGTTATTGTAGATTCCAAGCAGGTTCTCAGTCCTCACATTTACTGCTGCACACTGTTTTTCCTTCACATACAGAAAGAGTACTAGCACCTGATTTGTAAATTCCCAAAGGACTCATCTGTACTGAAAAGCAGAAGAGACCAGATAGAGCTTGTCCTGTGTGGCTCAGAGTCTACTGAAAATAAATAATTTAGTTTGGCACTGCTAAGATACTGCCTCTTGCTGAAGGCAGGCAGTGTGGTGATGCTTGCAGTACCTCATTGCCTTGAAGTGTAAGCACTGGATTTTCATTTGCATCTTGATTTTACATGCACAAGGGATTATCCAGCTATGTAAAAGAACTATCTTTGCATTTTAAGGAAGAAGTGTATTTTGGAAAAAAACTTCCTAAGTATTAAACAGGTTCACTATCCAATTGTAGCATTCAATGCAGTATACACAGCACGAAACTGCCATGGCTGCGAACAGGTAATTGTCTTGTGGATTTTATTTTCCTAACTAGAATCATACTACAGTATGGAAGAAAGTTTACCTTGGCAAATCTGTTGAGATCCACATCCAAATTCTCTGTCCTGTGGTTCAACCTGTCATATTAAGTAGAAAAAACAAAGCAAAATGCAGTATGTCTAATTACAGACAATTGTGTATTTGTATAGGCAAAAAATAGTTATTCTTGTTTTGTAAGAATAGATTATCAACTCCGTCCTTTTAGTAAACAGTCTTACTCTCCCTCTGTCAGATGCATCAGATAAAAGTACTGTTCAAGTATCTGTTTTGTGCTGTCAGCTGTTTGCTTATATGATGTCGATTTTTCTTTGCTTTATCTCCTTTGGGCAATCAGAAGTTCACACACATGCAAGGAACTTAACAGTGAGACAGTGAGTGCATGCATGTGTTCTCTGTGTTGGTGCAAACTTTCCTCAGAAACTCTGATGTTCTGGAAATAATTGAGTTCCTAGGCAAATGTTCTAGTCCTGTTTTTATTCCTGATCTATTCCTGCTCACCTCAAGTGAAACTAATTTTGCTCCCCAGTATACCGGTAATGGGCAGTAGTCAGGTGGAGCTTTAGGGTGGTAGTAATAAAAGAACAGTAAGTCTAGTCTTCTGACAGTTAGGTGAGATTTGAGAGAGGAAAACGTTCCTCCAGGAGAAGGGAAATGGGATACAGATGAATTAGTTTCTTAATGTCAGTTATTGCTTATCAGGGATCCCTAACTTGAATACTAATCCTACACTTCTGCAGCAAAGAAAAATCCATTTCATGTACCTTTTATATCCTTAACTCCCCAAAGCAAAGGATGGAAATATAAAATTTAGAAATAAAATTTTAAGGAGGCAACAAAGGCAAATGATTTTTGTACAGGCTATGAATCAGGTGCAGATGAGCTGCACATCTGTATTTTGTCTCTGTATGAAAGCACTTCTCCCTGTGGGTGGATGGGTGAACTATTACAGAATTTGTATTAGGAATCTGTTTCTAGAAAATGTTATTTATTGCAAATGCTATTGTATTGTAACTGGAACCATTTCTGAGCTGAAATTACTACATTTATGTAACTATTAATAAAGTTTTGTCTTTCCTTTTAGAAACTTGTCAGGTACTCTTTTAAGCATGGTATTCTGTATTGGATCCAACAGTCAGGCCAAGTTCATAGACATACGTCGTCTTCCATAGCTTGTCCATACTCAAG